TTAACTTTGCTGGACACCGGCCCTCCAGGACAGAGTTTGGACATGCCTGACTTAAGCGATGCAGAAAGCAATGCCACTTTATGAAGCTTACATCAAGGTGTGTGTGTCATGATAAGCTGTCTTTGGAATAAATAAAGGTAGTCTATTATGGTTTTCTAGTGTTTGGTGAAGATACAAACTAAAACGAAACCCAAACAGCTTCATTTATATATTCTGTTTATATGTACTTTTTATTTTATACAGTTTTGTTTTCAATTATGCAAGTTTTTGCTCCATTTCAGACCCATTTTTGTTTAGACAATGCTGTTTTTATCCGTCAAAATTTGCATCTCTTTTTCTTTTCTTGTGTAATATATTATAAAATAATGTACTTTAGTTGAAAAGTAGTCTGTCTTTTTCTCAAGATCATGTCATTTGAAAAATTATCCTACACCTGTGTTAACTGGTCTTTCACTAATACTTTTACCCAAAGGTGACCACCTGTTCAAGGGTTTCCATGGCAAGGCTGAGCTGTCCAATAAAACCTTCCCTGAACTGGACGACCATCATCATTTGGGACATGTGGATGCTGCGTTCCGCATGCACTCTGAGGACAGCCCAGACCACCACGACCACCAGTTCTTTTTCTTGGTAAACTCCACATTCCAATTAAGTTAATAATTTACTTAGTCTGATCCACTGTAATGCTGTACATCAGACATGCAAATTCACCTCTTCTTCAACCCCATTAAAGGACAACATGGTCTTCAGCTATTTCAAGCACAAGCTGGAGAAGGACTATCCCAAACTTATCTCTGCGGTTTTCCCTGGAATCCCTGATCATTTGGATGCTGCAGTGGAGTGTCCCAAGCCAGACTGTCCTAACGACACTGTGATCTTTTTCAAAGGTATTATAGGATGTTGTTGTTTTATTTGTCATTAAAGTTACAGTGCGCAAAGAAAGGAAGTTGACATTTTGTATCATATGATTCCCTGAAGGTGATGAGATCTACCACTTTAACATGCACACCAAGAAGGTTGACGAGAAGGAATTCAAAAGCATGCCCAACTGCACAGGAGCCTTCCGTTACATGGGCCATTATTACTGCTTCCATGGACATCAGTTCTCCAAGTTTGACCCGATGACAGGAGAAGTCCATGGCAAATATCCAAAAGAGGCCCGTGATTACTTCATGAGGTGCCCTCACTTTGGTAAGTGTATAAATGAGCATGTTAGTAAAGGTGGTAGAGATGGAGCAAGCACTTTAGCATTACAAAATATTTTTCTATAAAAAAATCTTTTGTTGTCGTCTTCAGGGAGTAAGACCACTGACGACCATATTGAGAGAGAACAGTGCAGTCGTGTGCACTTGGATGCTATAACATCTGACGACGCTGGCAACATATATGCTTTCAGAGGTGAGTTTATCATTGTCATCGAAATCTCATGGCGGTTTGTAGCTGTTTTGTGCTGTAGGTGTACAATCTCATTTCAAAGATTTGTACAATGTGTTCACAACTGAGTAAATTATGTCAAGGTTTTTTTCTAAAATATCATACAAATGAAAACATTTTCATAGATAGCATGACGCAATAAAGCAAGGCAAGTTACAGATGAATGGTGGTTTCATTTCATTCTTTTTTAACTGTCTAACCACTATGACACTTATCCTGAGGTTATTTTTTGTTCTGTTTTTTAATTTAATCTGAACCTAACAATGCACAAAAGTAAGTTAAAATAAATGTAATAGTATGCCAGAAGCACAAACCATATGAAGTTTTTAAACTAATTCTGAGAGGAGCATGTGTTATGATTGATCACGACTGGCCTTGCATCATTAGTCATTGCTAGTCCAATCAAATATCATTGTTAGATCAATCAAGTTAATTCTAGCCTTCAATAAATAAGTCCATTCCTCCTACCTTCCTTATCTTCATTTTTGAGTAAAGCCCCCATCTCCCCCTTTCCTCTTTTACCAGGGGAAGCTCTCGAGACCTACCGGATCTCGAAACCCCTGTCATGCTACATGACCAGGCGGGAGCCCTGAGCTCAAGTATCTTCGAGCTCAGGGTTCTCTCCCGGGACAGCATGCCAAATCTACAAATTATATCAAGCAGTAGCTAAGTGTGAACTTACAGTATGAAATAGCGTATTTATGACTATAGTAAAGGCTAAACTTACAATGAGTTCCATTTTAACTGCCAAAACTTCCTTTTTTATGTTTTTGTCAGATTGTTCAGAACTCTTTACAATAGGAGACACAGTAATGTTACAGTAGTTATTGTGTTTACTAACATAAACAAACAATGTTCCGTAATTGTAAAGCTTTTAGTTATTATTGCTCAACATTTAGTAATGCATCATTAAAAAAATCCAATACTCTACGTGCTAACATCAGTGCACTGAGTTAACATGAACTATCAACAAACAACTGTATTTTCATTGACTAATATTAACAAAGATGAATATATACTGTATAAAATCAACTCTATTGTTTTTTTGTGTTAGTAAATAATTTAATTAACATCAACTACATGTCCTACATTGTAGAGTGTCAACAATATTCAACGAGATTGCAAACAGAGCATTACGGGGATGGGGATTTGTTACATTATTACGTCAGTAGGTGATGACAGGAGACTGTTTTTAAAACCATCATTCATTTATCATTCAAGTTATTCTTTCTAAAAACACAGAACTTGAGTGTGAGGTTAAGATCAGTAATATCTAACTATGACAATTGATAGTATTCAGACTGAGGCGAGGTTATTAATTATGGGACAAAGTTTTTATGAGGGAGTAGATTTGTTTGCTTAACTATTTAGTTAAATACCTGCAGGAGAAAACATACACACAAACATATTCCACTGTGGTGACCCTGATAAATCAGAGACTACACCAAGAGGAAAATTAGTGAATGAATGAAATCCTTGCTCTTTTTTTTTTTCTCTAGGTCACCACTTCCTCAGCATAACTGGTGATAAGTTTCATTCTGACACAATCGAGAGTGAATTCAAGGAACTGCACAGTGAAGTGGATTCAGTCTTCTCCTATGATGGCCATTTCTACATGATCAAGGTTCATTTGTGTTGCAATTGGCTTTATAATATTAGGTGTCCTTCTGTTGTACACTGTAAAGTGAAAGTGTGTACAATAATATTCTCATATATTATGTGCGCAGGACAATGATGTGTTTGTGTACAAAGTTGGAAAGCCACACACACACCTGGAGGGGTACCCTAAACCCTTGAAGGATGTGCTGGGAATTGAGGGCCCCGTAGATGCTGCCTTTGTGTGCGAAGATCATCATGTTGTTCACATCATCAAAGGTATAAACACTGCTATGCTTGCTCTGTAAAAAAACTTATTGCAAGAGTTTGTTGTTCAGTGGCAGAAAGCTCACTGTCTCTTCTTCTATAGGTCAGTCAATCTATGATGTTGACTTGAAAGCCACCCCACGTAAGCTTGTGAAGGAAGGAACCATTACACAGTTCAAAAGGATTGATGCAGCAATGTGCGGACCCAAGGGTGTGACGGTTGTCATCGGTAACCATTTCTACAATTATGACAGTGTCCAAGTTATGCTGATGGCCAAAATCATGCCTGAACAGCAGAAGGTGTCTCAGCAGCTGTTTGGCTGTGACCACTAGAGGGCTGCAGGCTGAGAAAGGAAGGAAACTGCTGTGCAGTGATACAGTCTGTACAGACTTGCATTTCCAAGCAGTAACATATCCATATTCCTCTAACTCTTGTCACTTTGATCTCAAAAGTTTATTCCTACCTCTGGTGCTCTGCTCAAATCATCTAGCTCTTTGCAAACATGTGAATATGAATACAATTCTGACTTTTGCTGCCATTGCATGGCGTGCAGACTAATGTACATGTGTGTTACCACAGAGCCTGTTGTTTGAAGCTTTATCTAAGGACTTGCTTATTTCACCTTTGTCTGCTTGCTGTGTGGTTAATAAATAGTCTTATCTATTACATGTGTCTGTTTTTAATGCAGTGTATTGTGATATTAGCTATATAATAAGCTTATATGTTTAGGGGGAACATTTAAAAAAAAAAAACTGGATAATGAAAAGTCTATATACTATCCAGCAAGCATTTTTTTTGCTTTTATAAGATGTCTAATAGACGTTTAAACATAGTCGTATTGGCTGAAACAAAGCTAAACTTGGGCTGTCAGTTAAAATCTAATAGACGTCTAAGAATAGGCCAAAACAAGACTAGTCATCAAATAAACAGAAATGAATGACTACACATATAATGTCTGTCTAATCCGTCTATTTGATGACTAGTCTAGTTTTGGGCTATTCTTAGATGTCTAATAGATTTTTACTGACAGCCCAAATGTAGCATTGTTTTAGCCAAGCTGTCTATGTTTAGATGTCTATTAGACGTCTATTAGACACAAAATATCCTACTGTCACTGTATGAAACAAGCTTCTTAAGGCATCCAAAGCTTACACATTTACTCTGAACAGCCTAAATTACATAATTCAGCTTTTTAGGCTGATGTTTAATCACATTTAACAAGATTTCTTTGCTTTCATTCTTATGAAAAACGTTGTTTTCATTCTAGGCATAATGACAGTTATAACGAAGAACCATTTTTTAATGCCCGATATACAATACGATACAGAGTCAATGACTGACTTAAAGTTGTTGTCATTTTTTTGCTTTAAAATGTCTACGATTTGTTCAAGACAAACTGTTCAAAATATGTTGCATTTCTGAAATTTCTGCCATGTGGGACGTTTCAAATAAAATGAAACTTATGAGTAAAGCGAAACTTACGACTGTGAAAACGATCTCTAATTGTTTAACAAACTACTAACAGGTATAGTCCTACGAGACCATTAAATGAATAATGGAAACAAAAAAATAAAAAGAACAGGACATTTTGTGCAGCCTCGCAATATAATCTGGATGCAGCCTTTATGATGCAAGCTGAGATTGCAACACACACAATGTGCGACACAATGAATGCACTCAAATGGAGCTGATGTCACTGTGAGGTGTTGGGTTAGGAGTGAGGTTAGCCTCGGGTAAAATGAAACCGAAACCTAAGCGTAGTTACTTGAGTTCGGGCTCTCATAGTGAAAACATTAAGCATCACACAGAGCTGCTGAACAGAGTGAGTACCTTCTTCATTTCCAAATTTTATTCTCTCTCTCTCTCTCTCTTTCTCTCTCTCGTTGTATTAGCTACATGTGAGGGCTGTTTACACCTGGTTACATATATCATAACCATATAATGTGGCAATAAGATCGTAATATGATCTGTGGTGTATATTTACATCTTGACCATATTCATTTAAACACACGAAAACAACATTAAGATTATACCAGACACTATAAAAAAGCTCATTCCCAGCCAACAGACTTTTCTGACAGGGTGTTCAAATGTCATCGAGTGACATATGTGAAAGTATATTGTGGGACTGCTACTGTTTACAGGAGTTATTATTAGGGATTATACATAACAGTATAATAACAGAACGCCATTTTGAATGTATTAAAACATGTGCTTGTTGTAAAAATTTATAATAATGACAAAAAAACTTGTGCATCTCCTGACTTCCGTGTTGTAGATGTTTTTTGTAGGCAACCCCTTGTTTTAGAATGTAGTCCTGAAAACTCTCAGTTTCAAGGGCTATGTAGCCCTTCCCTTTAGCCCTACGCCTTTAAGCTAAATAGAATTGGGAAGGGCTAAGAGGTAGAATTGGGATTGGGCCTTAGTGTAGGGTTGAGCTGATAGATGATGCCAACCTCTGGCCCACCCCCGTCACAAACCCGCTCGCGAAAAATACACACTTAGGCCCCCATTTACACTAATACGTCTTAGTATTAAAATGGCATTTAAAATGGCATTTTAGAATGAAAATCATCCACATCCACACCCTGTTTTACCTAGCATTTCTAAACAGCTCTCTGTCCGCTGAAAACACACATCAGGTAAGCACACACTCACAGACACTCACAGATGGCGTCTTATTATAGTTGTTAAACATGATATTTAATTCATCTCTATCTAACGACTCTTCTGTCTTTTGAATCTATCGGGTAACGTGTCACTGTCACAGCATCAGTACACTGCTTCAGTCTTCCACTTTCACACTACTTAGTAATTTTAGTGAAAACCTCAGATACTGTTGGTTGTGCACCTTTTTTACCGACCAACCTCCTGCGAAAAAAGTGATTGACAGGTGGTAATTTGTGTGCAACTTATCTTTATTTATTTATGATTTGTTTATGGGTAAAACAAAGATCATGCGGGTCAGGTAGTTGAAACGATAGGCTACAAATAATATATTTATGAATTCATTAATTATTTATAAATAATTAAATCACCTCCGCCTATGACGATGAAGCCATCATCCATCGAGATGTTTCACAATAGACATCGTACAATGCCAAATTGGTCGACATCGCCCAACCCTACTTTAGTGTGTTCATTTCACTCACTTTCTTTTTGGTCATTCCCTGATTTATAAGGGCTTGCCACAGAGGAATAATCCACCTGTCTGTCATCTTTTTATGTGATGGATGGCCTTCCAGTCGCAACCCAGTACTAGAGTACAGCTTGCGAACCATCAGTCAGTTCTGATTTGCCCTCTACGCAGACTAACCAAGGTGTGGAAGGCCCCCTGCAAAACAAATATGTCCATTAACAGTCTAGATTAGGCCTGCAAGCTCAAAAACCTAAGCATAATATACCAAGGAAGAATGAAATGCAAACAAAACATATAAAAAGCTTAATGTGATCCATTTTGTTTTTATTCCTGTTTATTAAGTCTCTGACTGTTTCAGCTTGGCTGCTTTACTTTTAATCTCCTCTTTCAGCATGGCTGAATTCTCTCTTTCTATTTCTTCTGCTGACTTTCTCTTTATGTTTGCCTCTGCGCCAATAGTATCTGACTGCAGACTTTTATATCAAGCTTATGACATGCAATCTCAGACATGCAATCTCAGAAACAATGCTCTCAACGAAACTAAACAAAATATTCAGATAATGTAAAACTCTTGCTCTGGGTCATATTTTTCAGAATTGGTTCGACATGTCTCCATCTGGTTCAACTAAGGGTGAAAGTAGTGGTCTAAACCAGCACTATGAAGAGAAGGTCCGTCCATGCATTGACCTAGTAGACTCTCTGAGGGCATTAGGTGTTGAAAAGGACCTGAACCTGCCTGCTATTGCTGTCATCGGTGACCAGAGCTCAGGAAAGAGTTCAGTGCTGGAAGCCCTGTCTGGAGTGGCGCTCCCTAGGGGAACAGGTTATAAAACACAATTTTCCAATTCATTACTTCTTAGTTTCAATTTAAAGGTGGTGTGTGGCTGACCCCCTATATTCAACACAGGTATTGTGACACGCTGTCCTCTTGTACTGAAACTGAAGAAAATTACAAAGGACAAAAGCTGGCATGGATTGCTGACATATAATGATAAAATAAGGGAACTTAAGGACCCAGCAAAAATTGAGAAAGCTGTCTTAAATGGTATTACTTCAAAAGTCTTTTGACATATAGTTTAAGAACTTTAATGCCCTGTGATTCTTTAATGCTTTAATCTGTGGGATGATTGTGTCTTGTATTGGTAGCTCAGACTGCATTGGCTGGAATAGGCGAAGGGATCAGCCATGAAATGATCACTCTGGAGATCCAGTCATGTGATGTTCCTGACCTCACTCTCATTGACCTGCCAGGTATTGCTAGAGTCGCCACTGGCAACCAGCCAGAAGACATTGAGAAACAAGTAAGACACAAGTTTGTCAAGCAATTTCTGTAGAAATGTTAGACTTATTCATCAGTACAGTACTGCTTCAAGTCATTTTTGTTTTCTGTTACAGATAAAAAGTCTCATTGAGAAGTTCATCAAAAGACAAGAGACCATCAGCTTGGTTGTGGTTCCTGCAAACATTGACATCGCCACCACCGAGGCTCTGAAGATGGCATCCACAGTTGATCCAACTGGACAAAGGACTTTAGGTATGTTATGCTACTTGTAGGCTAATGTAACTTACTGTACCATAGCGGCAGCACCACATCAGCAGATTAAGTTGAAGCATTACCAAGTTGATTTTTTATTGCCACACTAACAACAGAATAAGTGTAGTATTGTCAAATATATTGTTCCTGTTTTCTTTAAATAAGAGTAAATCAAACACATTTTCACTCTGCAGGTATTCTGACTAAACCAGATTTAGTGGACAGAGGAATGGAGGACACGGTGGTCCGAACAGTCAATAATGAAGTGATACCCCTGAAGAAGGGCTACATGATAGTCAAGTGTCGAGGTCAGCAAGACATCAATGACAAGCTTGGTCTGGTTGAAGCTCTGGAAAAAGAAAGAAGATTTTTTGATGAAAATGTTCATTTCAGGCAAGATATTAATTAGGTTTTAACAATTTGCTCAGTTTTTTTATTTTATTTAAGTGAAGCAAATTATTCAGCTCTTTTTAGTAAACACAGACACTATAGGCTTTATGCAGCAATGATGAACACTCCTCCACTTGCCATATGTGGACATATTTAGTGGTTTCAGGAAATTAAAATGCTGTTGTTGATGTTTTGAACTTTAGATTTGTAGTTCACAATTTATATTTATCATTGTTAAATTGTTAATTTGATCTGTCATGTATTTGTTTATGTGTTTTCTTAAATGGCCAGTGTCAATTTAATATAAAGTTGAAGTCAGAATTATTAGCCCCCCTGTTTATTTTTTCCCCAATCTCTATTTAATGGAGAGAAGATTTTTTCAACACATTTCTAAACATAATAGTTTTAATAACTCATTTTTAATCACTGATTTATTTGATCTTTTCCATGATGACAGTACATAATATTTTACTAGTAATATATATTTACATTTACATAATTTACATAATATTTTTTCAAGACACTTCTATACAGCTTAAAGTGACATTTAATGGCTTAACTAGGTTAATTAGGTTGACTATGCAGGAAAGAGTAATTAGGCAAGTTATTGTATAATGATAGTTTGTTCTGTAGACTAAAATAGCTAAAATGAAACAAATAAGACTTTATCCAGAAGAAAAAATATTATCAGACAAACTATGAAAATTTCCTTGCCCTGTTAAACATATATTTTTAAAAAGAAAAAAAAAAACAATTCAAAGGAGGGCTAATTATAAACTTAGCTGTATATAAATAAATATAAATATATATATATAAATTTTATTTTATTATTATTATTTTTTTATGTATTTTTTTTTTCAAATTGTATTATTTCTCTTTAGGTCACTTCTTGAAGACAGAAAAGCTACAATACCCCTGCTTGCAGAAAGACTCACAAAAGAATTGGTTGAACACATTGCTGTGCGTACACAAATTCATACAGCAGAAACACTGACACAGCACCTACCGTATGACCTACACAAAATATGAACTGTAAAATATAAAATGTTAGAATAAAAAAGCTCTTTTGCAGTCTTGTTTGCATTTGTTTTGCATGTCACCATTTAATTTTTTTTTTACATTTAGAAAAATCTGCCACAGCTGCAGAATCAGCTTGAGATGAAATTAGAGAAGACGTCTGCTGATCTTAGAGGACTGGGAGATGGTGTTCCTCTTGATAAAAACGAGAAGAGCAATTTTCTGATAATGGTAAGAAAATACTTTTTTTAATTAATGGATCTAACACTGGACATTAATGATAATTTTTAACACTGATGATGATTAATTTGTTTCTAATTATTGTTATAACATTGTATATTGACACACTTGTTGCTGTGTATTTTTTATTTTTATAAAATTAGATGCCCTGGATAAAGTCTGGGGTACATAAAGAGTACAATAAAGAAGTCATATCCATGAGTTACAGTGCATCTGGAAAGTATTCATAGCGCTTCACTTTTTTCCCAAATTTTTTATGTTACAGCCTTATTCCTAAATGGATTAAATTAATTTATTTCCTCAATATTCTACACACAATACCCCATAATGACAATGTGAAAAGATATTTTTTTTAATTGTTGCAAACTTATTCAAAAAGAAAACTCTGAAAAAAAAAATCACATGTACGTAAGTAATAACAGCCTTTGCCATGAAGCTCTAAATTGAGCTTAGGTACATTTTGTTTTCACTGATCATTCTTGAGTTGTTTCAGCAGCTTAATTGGAGTTCACCTGTGGTAAATTCAGTTGATTGGACAATTTAAAAGGCATACAACTGTCTATATAAGGTCCCAGAATTGATACTGCATGTCAAAGCACAAACAAAGCATAAAGACAAAGGAATTGTCTGTCCTGGATAGGATTGTCTCAAGGCACAAGGTGGGGGAAGGTTGCAGAAAAATTTCTGCTGCTCTGAAAGTTCCACTGAGCACAGTGGCATCCATTATCCATAAGTGAAAGATGTTTGGAACCACCAGGACTCTTCCTAGCTGGCCATCTAAGCTGAGTGATTGGGCCAGAAGGGCCTTAGTCGGAGACGGTGATTAAAAACCCGATGGTCACTCTGTCTGAGCTCCAGCGTTCTTCTATGGAGAGAGGAGAACCTTACAGAAGGACAACCATCTGTGCAGCAATCCACCAATGTGCCTGTATGGTAGAGTGGCCAGACGAAAGCTAAGAAAAAGTGAAGGGCTATGAATACTTTCCGGATGCACTGTATATACATTACCTTCTGTTTTCTTTAAATGAGCAGTTTTTCAATTATTTTTAATTTCACCAAACTGATTTTTTATGTGTAAATTTATGAGCTTTTGATTTCTACAGAAAATTCGCCAGTTTAATGATGTTCTTGAAAGAGTTCAGATGGCAGAAGAGGATGTTGAAAAACCAAACACAAGGGTCTTCTCCAAAATCAGAAGTGAATTTGTCAAATGGAAACGCATCCTGGATTCCAAAGCCATTAAGAGTGAGTTTTTAATTGAACTTTTACATTACCAACATTTTATTTGTTTATTTATTTATTTGAATCGGACATCACAATTACACTGGACAACCAAATGCATTTGTTGAAGTGTTTTAGCAAACTTGCTAATTCTCAACACCTGTCCACAGGAGGCTTGAATAATGGAATAATAATAATACAAAATGGAAATATAACAAAAACATATACACAACATTATATTTCTTTACATACAATTACTGAAGCAAAAGCAAAGGCGACATGATCCAACGAACTAACAGTAGACTGTTTGTGCAAACACTGCTGCTTTGTTTTTAACCACTTTTTAAGAGCACTACTAAAAATATTTAGATTAATTTCTGATTTTAAGCTAACAGGTAAATCATTCCACAGTTTGGCTCCCTTTTACAGAGAAGACATATTGACCAAATGAGTCTTACACTTTGGCACTAGACAGTCACCATAAGCAGTTGCCCGTGTGACTCTGTAAGAGGTTTGATGCCGACTGATTAGATCAGAAAACAGGATTGGAACATGATTATTTAAACATTTGAAAACCAATTTAAGATAATTATATATCAAAACTAAAAAGGTTATGTTAACATAAAACTTCACAATACAGTATTAACTCTCATTTAAAAGCTCTCTGCAGTGTTTCTGCTAATCTTGGGGCTTGTGTCTGTGAAGGAATAGTATTACTGATGGTTGTATTTTGTAAATCAGCTCTTTGTTATTTTTTAACTTTGCCTTTTCTCCTTCTAAACAATGTATTTTTTCCACAGCCACCAACTATTTTGTGGCAGCGAAGAGTCCAATATGCTAATGGTATTTTTTCTCATTTCTCTCTGTTCCCTTAAGCGGAGGAAACCCTCAGAGATGAGGTACAGGAGTATGTAAAGACACGCAGGGGAAAGGAGCTTCCTGGATTTGTGAACTACAGAACCTTCGAGAACATTGTCAAGAAACATATTGCGGAGCTTCATGAACCTGCTTTAAAGCTGCTCAAAGATGTTACAGGTAAAGAACAGTGTTTGATGGTTTACAGGCATTTAAATTTATCCCTTACATTTTACATTTTTTGCTACTGAACAAAGTAAATCAGCAGATTATTTGAAAAAAGTTATACATAAAAGAGCACATAAAGCCAGTTATGCATACATGATGTGTTTTGCCACCTCTGATTGACTTTGTTTTATTGTCTCTTTTCTTTACAGACATTGTTCACTCCAGTGTTGACCATATTGTTAATGCTCATTTTAGCTCCTTCTCGCCACTGATGAGGGCTGCAAAAGACCCAACTGAAGATTTCCTCCATGAGCAGTTTCAGAGGGCTGAGGAAAAAATACATTCTCAGTTTAGGATGGAGAAGATTGTCTACTCTCAAGACGATCTTTACAGTGACCAGCTAACCACTGCAAAAAATACTTTAAGAGGTTATGGTCTGCAGTCACCCAATGTCAGTGCAGATGTACGGGAGATGGCATACCATCTCACCTCCTATTTAACGGTTTGTATACCTTTTAATTAAGTTATCCTTGTTTGAGCATGGGCCGGTGTTAGATTCTGACGGTATGATAACCTTGGATAATAGTATCAAAGTTTCATGGTATCACGGTATTGTGATCAGTGCTCCAAAATCAGTTCTTTTTAAATGTCTGGATAAAAAAAATTAAAAATTCCCTCATTGAGCACAATTCAATATATTCTATTTTAAGAAACATTTAAAATATTTTGGACCAGTAGCTTTTGATGTGGAATTTTATTTTCTGCTGGATGTACTGTTGCCCTAAAAACTAAATAAAAAAGTGATAAAAAACATAAAAAACTGAAATATACCTCAGGAACGGTATAACAGAAAACTTTGGCGTTTTTTTTTTTAAACCTTGACTTTTCCAAACCACGGTAAACCTTGAAACTGGTTATCATCCCCTGTCTGTCCTTGTTCTTTATAGAGTATAGTTTGTAGTTTTGCTTAAAATTACTTCTAAATTCAAAATATTCAATTTTCTGCAAACTGGCCTGTTTCCCGTTTCCCTCTAAACAGCTTACTACTGCAGCTTGCCTTTACAGTAGAGTTAATTATTCCTTCAACGTAAAGGTGCAGTAGGTGGTTTTCTTCAGATACATTTTTGTTGTGCTGGTTTAAAGTCTTTTCACAGTCCAATAGTACTGATTACAGTAAATGATCTGAATGTGTTTATATGTATTTTTATATTCTGGGTAAAGCCTGGTTTATACTTCTGCGTCAAGTGACCGGCGTAACCCATGGAGCATGCACACGCGTAGCTGTGCATTTATACTTCTGCGCGCTGTCTCTGTTGGTCTGCATTAACACTTCCGAAACGCTAGTTGGCAGTGAGGTGTAAATGTTCCTCTGTGTCGAGTTTCTTCTGTGCTGTTTTGCTTTTCCTGAACACTTCCGGGATGTACAAGTTTTTTTATTATTATTATTATTATTATTATTATTATTATTATTTTTAGATCTTATAAGAACATACAGAAATAAAACAAATGACCGAACAAAGAAACATCTTTTTCATCTAGGAAGTCCAAATAGCAGCATCCACACACACAAAAACAAAAAACAAATAAATATATATCAAAATAATAAAATTGAAATAAATAAATAAATAAGCAAAATACAATTCACTATAATACAAAGGGGTTAACGTCTCATCAGCTTTAAAGAATTGAGAAAGACAATTAAATCTTTGTGGAAAAGCAAAAAAGTGTGTGTGTGTGTGTGTGTGTGTGGGGGGGGGGGTGTTATTAAAAAATCTGCATTTATGAATGAAATAGTTTGCCATAGTCACAATATTGTTAACCAAAATTTCCAGCTCAGAATTCTGACAAAAAGATAAATATTTACAGTTTTAATATCAAAATCAGGTATTACATATTTTAATCTTAACCAAACAGTAATGTCATCCCATAACTTTTTTTAAAAATTTGCATAAATAAAACAAATGTTCCAATTACTCTATGTCTGCTTCACAAAAGGTACAAATGTTACAATCCAAATTAAGTCTGAGGAACTCATCACAAGAATAAATATCGTTAAAAATTTTAAACTGAACTTCTTTTGCCTTTGGTACAAGGGAAAAGAGAGAAGTCTTGTTCAAAACACCTTGTCTTCCGGAAAATCTAAAACAAGGGGTCTTTTCTTAACTTTAAAAAGGAAAAGCTGTGTATTTACTAACCTTCTTAAGGTCTTATTATTACAGCTCTACCTAGTAAAATTAATACCAGCAATAATAAGATTGCCTAATCTTGGTATCACAGAAGAATAACCCAATTCCGCTTTGATTAGCTGAACCAAACCACCAGGACAAAATACAATTTCTGAGTATGAATAATTTTTCACAAAAATCATCATAATTGAGGAAATTTCCAACCCCATCCAAAATTTGTATAATAGACCAAACACCTTTGTCCATCAACTCTTGAAAAAACACAGATTTCCTCTTAATAAGTATATACTTATTATTCCACAAAGAACAGCTATGTGGCGAAAAAATTATGTTTGTATATTAACTTCCAATACAGCAATACCTGACTATGAAAAGATGACAATTTACACTTTAACTTTGATGGCTCAAAATCGCATCTTAAAAGAAAGTCTATGCCGCCAAAGAAATAAAAAATTTTAGAAGAAAACCTAAAACCGAAAGAATGTTTATGTCGAAGGAAGGTTTGAAGCCGCTTCAGCTTAAGGGTACCATTCATAACATCAAAATCAATAACATTCAATCCACCCTCATTGATTGGTTTCACTACATCTGATTTTCTTAGATAATGATGCTTATTTTTCCATAGAAATTTATATTGCATTTGATTCAGATTTTTAACGTACCTATCACAAATACTTAAAGAAAAAGCTGGGTAAATCATCCTGAAAAGTGCTTCTGACTTTTGTAAAACAATTCTACCAAAATTAGATAGATTCCTTTGAACCCACAAATTTAATAATTCTGACTTTTATCAAATTATCCATCAAATTAGTTTTTTCCCTAACTTTAGGGTCTTTAGAAATAACAACACCCAAGTATTTTACCTCATTTTTAACTGGAATATTGAACAGTTGTGTTTCGGTATGGTTATGGAGTGCCATCAGCTCACATTTTTTTTTAATTCAATTGCAGACCAGAAGCATTTGAAAAATGAGACACCAGATTAATGGCAACTGGAATCTGTTCTGCATTACTGAGAAACAGGGTGGTATCGTCTGATAGTTGACTTATTATTAATTGACTCCCTAAAACATTCAAAGGTCTGATAGCTCTGCAATTTTTAACATACAATGCTAATAATTCAGCTACTAAAATAAATAAATACGGGCTTGTCGGATCCCCTTGTCTAATGCCTCTATTAATGTTAAACCTCTTTGAAGTCCCAAATGGTAATGATACTGAACTATTTATGTCTTTATATAACATTTCTATTACTTAAACAAATTTATGACCTAAACCAAAAAATTTCAATGTATGTAAAATAAAATTATGTTCTACAGTATCTAATGCCTTGTAGAAGTCAAGAAATAAAACAAAAACATCCTCTTTAATTAAATGTAATCAATTAGATCTAAGACAAGTCTAATGTTGTTGTGAATTAGCCTTCCTTTAATAAAACCAGACTGAGTTTCACTTATAACTTGATTCAATCTAAATTTCAATCTATTAGCTATAGCAGATGTAAGAATTAAGAATTATAATCCACATTGAGTAGAGTAATCGGCCTCAAATTCTCAATAATTCTTATATCTTTGTTTGCCTTTGGAATAAGAATAATTAAGCCCTGTTTCATAGCAAGTAAAGTATTAGAATTAAAACACTCTTTTAATACTGCAAATAACAAATGTTTTATATCCTCCCCAAAAAAATTTGTAAAAGTTAGTAGTCAAACCATCCTGACCAGGAGACTTACCCAAACACATCTTTTTGATAGCTGCTTCAAGTTCCTCTAGCTACAAATCCTCATCACACATTTCTTTAAATTCAATATCTATCTGTGGGATATAATCTTTAACCTTTTTAATTAAATAGCATTATTTTCAGAATATGATAAAGAGTAAATATTACTATAAAATGAATATATTTCCTTATATCAGTTTAGAATCCGTAATTATTGCATCCTTAATAACTAAAGTATGAATTGCATTACTTTGCTGTCTCCTCTTTTCTAATTGACAAAAGTAAGCTGTGTTCTTCTCTCCTTCTTCCATCCATTTTGCCCGACACCTTACAAAAGCTCCTTGTGCTTTCATTACATACATGCTGTCTAATTTAGCTTGAATAGTGATTAACTTTTCCACATCTTTAACCTTATCATGCGTGTTACAGCAAGCATTAATTTCCTGAATTATTCTTAATTCTTTTTGCAATATATCGCTTCTCTTTTGTTTACAAAACCGAATTGAAACTTCCCTTGTTTTAAATTTAAAGTACTCCCATTTAATCCCACTGGAATTTAAAGAGAAATCATTCTCAACCTCACTAATTAGGTTTCTAATTTGACTACAATAAACTTTATCCTTTAAAAGTTCTGCATTGAACTTCCAATAGTCTTTCTTAGTAGTATTTTTTCTTACTGGTGTCAAAGTTAATGAAATCAAACAGTGATCTGTCAATGGTGCAGCAGAACTTAAAACCTGGTTCGCAAGCTCCAGATATTCCTCAGTTATGAGCCAAAAATCTATTCGTGACCTAAAGGACCCATTAGGTTTAATCCAAGAGAACTGATTGGTATTAGGATTCTTGACTCTCCATACATCTATAAGAGAGTTAACTTGGCAAAATTCCTGAATAATACTATTAAGACGATGACTTGTAAAACTAGAGGGAGATCTATCCATCCATTCATCAGGTGCCAAGTTAAAATCACCTCCAATTAGTACCAAATTTGTATTAAATTTTGATTTAAATTGTAAAACAACCTCTGTTAGATCGGATAATAAAGACTTGTTTTGCCCAGCACAATTATAGCCATACACATTCACTATAATAACAAAAATACCTTCACTGTTAATCACAGCAGTAAGCCAATGACCATAATCATCAGACTGAAAAGTCACAACCTTCCCAGGACAATTGTTGAGGCAAATGGCGACACCTGCTGATCGATTAGACCCATGACTGAACAAGATTGTGTCTCCCCACTATATTTTCCAAAAAGCTTCATCTTCAACAGTAGAATGAGTCTCTTGAAGAAACAAAAACTGTGATTTCTGCCCCTAGCAAACAAAAATATTTTCCCCCTAGCAAAAAAAAATATATATTTTTGCTAGAAAAATATTTCTAGCAAACAAAAATATAGCTTTCCATTTTACTTTGTCCTTTAGACCCCTTGCATTCAGTAAACAAAAAGATAAACTAGATTTTAGTGAAAACATGTTCCACTGAAACTCACAGTGAACAAAGTAAAAATGTCACTGAACAGTCAGTATAGAATCGGAAGAAGAAAAAAAACTTGCAACGCAAAAAGAGTCTCTGAATAATAAGCTTTTCCCTTATTCAAACCTTTCATCATTCGGGAAAAATTTGCTTTCCCTCAATGAAAGCCAATGGACCCCGAAAGTACGCCACTTTCCCTTCTGCTCGAGCTTGTTTAATGCGTGGCCAGAGCACTTGCCTCGCCTCTCTGTCCTCTAATTAAATCCTGCTTCGTTGCACACTGATGATCCCTTGGACAGTATCCAGATTTGATCTCTGTAGATTCTCTTTGAAAACTGCATGATAATTTGACGTGTGCGATTATCTTCTCTCCTGCCATTTCGATGGACAGAGTCAACCGCTTCTTCCATTTCCAAGGGCACGCCAGGTGCAATCTTGGAGAGCAAGGTGATCACTACTTCTCTAGTATTCTCGTTCTGTTTCTCTTGAAGTCCTTTTATGTGTAAATTCCAGCGCCTTTTGTAGCGATCCAATTCTCCTACCCTAGATTTCAACTCTTTGTTTTATTTTTGGAGATCAGAAAGCTCCAGTTCCAATTCAATGTTCTCTTCCAATTTTTTCGTGACTTCTTCCAACTTTTCTTCCTGCTTGTCAAATCTTTTGCCGAGGGAGTAAATAGCCTCGAGAATATGTGCATTAGAGTTATCTTCTTCGCTGTCAGAACGTACTGTACTGTATACGAAATGTGCACTTTACTGGGCGTAACAGGTAGATTCACGTCACCACAAACCTCCAGGAGACGCTTATTAGTTTCAGCACCTACTTCCATCACCTCCGCATAATCATGATCAAATTTGTCGCTGATTACAGCTATATCCTCCAGTTTTTTTCCTCTACCCGCCATTTATGGATGATGAAAAAACAATTCGCTACCAATTAATTGGGAAAACTTTAAAGAACACTAAGAAACACTTTGAGACTCCGCCAGCTGTTACAAAATGCTGCTACCTAGTACGCCATCTTGGTCTCCACACTTGTAATCAATCGCTCCATCAGCTCGCACCATTCACGCGGCTCTCGGTCCCGCCCAGACTCGTCAGTGCTACCAATCCGACCAATCACAGAGCTTGCGCTACGCGTTGTTGCGACGTGTAGTTACATTTTTTGAGAGGTGCACGTCAGTGACGGCGATGGCCACGGCGAAGGGCTATGCGTCAGCGCCGTAGCATACGCCGACGTTTGACGCAGAAGTATAAATCAGCCTTAAATCAGCCTTTAGGCATAAAACAAAAAAATGTTCATCCAATTAAATATTGTCGGGCCGACATCTCCCATAATTCCGATAAGTAGCTCAAATTGTCTGTCAACAAATGCAAATTTGGGCTTTTGCGCATTCATGCAGATCCGCCTGTGCATACCTGCATGAGCGCCGCGCCTGCACGCCTAGTATTTTATCTTTATGCAGAGCTGATGCAGATGTTGTTCTTATAAATGGGTTAATGGTATATGCACAGACGTGTTGTTCAGCCACTGAAATCTCCTAGCGAAGATTAATGTGATTGTTTTCAGTTTCATAAGGTCCTTTTAAAGCATTTATAATGCAGATTTATATTTAGTTTAACAACAAAACATAAGTGAATAGCACTATTCTGCACAGCCGAAAAAGCTAGGCAGTTGCTTTTATATTCAAATTGGCTCATTTATGAACAATGACAGCCTGTGACGTGCTCCCGATATTGTTTACCATGCTACTCTGAATATTCGCTCTGAAATAGCATGCAAGTATGGCTTAGTAATAAGTGACATTTTTGCAGCCAACCACTACATACACTTCTAACTTGCGAATGACATGAACTAGTGAAGGGGTCACCAACCTTTATGAAACTGAGAGCTACTTCTTGGGTATTGATTAATGTGGAGGGCTACCAGTTTGATAAGCACTTCTCAAATAACAAATTTTCTCAATTTACTTTTAATTATACTTTATGTTTTTGGTAATAATTAATAATATTCATCCATGTGAAGACACTGATCATGTTAATGATCTCACAAAAGTTATCAACAATGATTTAACAGGGTAGGAAATACCCTGTATTTAATATATCAATGTGCAACACTTTATTTTTTATATATCTATGCAAATATTTACATTTTTAAATGATTACTTCTATATTAGATGAAGCTTACTGGTAAGTGGCGCTATGGTGAGCTATTTTTTAGAACAGACCTGTGGGCAACACATGAGATCCTCGCGGGCACCATGTTGGAGACCCCTGAACTAGTGGGTTGTATGGTGTTGTGTCGCGGTGTGTGCGTTTGCTATTTCAGGAGGCGTGGCTTTGAAACAGTGCCTCCCCTGCCGTCCAAAGCTAATATGCTAACCGATTACTGTTTTGGCAGATCACCTACTGCACCTTTAATTTGAGATTGAAGAAGAAAAAAAAAATCACATCAAAGATTATTTAAAGAATAAAGAATTTTGGTTAATCTCTTGCACTGTATAAACAAAGACATAATGACTTTAAATGTTATTGGTATGTGTTTGCAGATTGCATGTGAACGTCTGGCTAACCAGATTCCACTGATAGTCCAGTATCACATGCTGAACCAGTACATCTCTCAGCTTCAGAATGCAATGCTTGGCCTTATTGGAAAGAACAGTCCAGGAATGCTGCTCTGTGAAGATTCTGGTGTTGCCCGTAAAAGAAAAGATCTGAAAGAGCGACTGGAGCGCCTCAAGAGTGCAGGAAGAGTCCTGTCTAAGTTTGTGCATTCTGCATAAGGTCACTGGTTTAAGTCCTGGCTGGGTGTGTGACACTCGAAAACACTACAAATTGCTGTAAATCCCAAATGTTAAAACATTGTATCCCTTTTGTTCTACTGCATGTTACTGGTCTTATTGTGAGTGGTTTATTTACTGTTACTATATTGTTGTTTTAAAAAATGCATTTTACCTAATAATTCTTAATTAAATTGTCAGAATATAAACTGTTGATAAACCAAATAATTTGTCTTATTAGATCCTGATGAATCGCTATGAATGAATATTAAATAAACTTAAACACAGCATGTATATTATAAATACTGTTAAACCCGAAAAGTTAAGGTAACTCAAACTGTTTGAGGAAACTGCAACAAACCATTTAAGTTCAAAAACTAATCGTACTGAGTACTGTGAACTTAATCCACTTGAGTAAATGAAGCAATTTGAGCACAGTAAAACCCAATAAATGAAGAGAACTCAAACCAATTGAGTATTGTAAAACCCAATAAGTTAAGGCAACTAAAACCATTTGAGGAAACCAATGGCAGCAAACCATTTGAGTTAAACTAATCTATTTGAGTACTGTGAACTTACTCCATTTAAGTTGAAATAATGAGGTATTTAATTAACTCATTACCTTCAGCACTGAGATCAAAACTATATATATTGCACATTTATGTTTTACAGTGTACCCTTTGTCCAACACATTATTACAAGCAATAAATAAGATAAATAACTCCCATGGCTTGGGACAATATACTGAAGTCTTTTAACATGAAAAGACAGGTCTTTGCAAGAGGCTGAACGTTGATCAGAGCTTTGTTTATGAGCAAGTTCACAAAAACGAAAGTAAAACCACATTTTTACAAACACACATTCATTTGCTAACTTTCTGGGAATTTCCCTTAGACACACTGTACCATGCATATACTAAACACAACCCTCTGAACAAATAAAACAAAGTATTTCCAAAATACTTTATTCTGTATTATTTGTAAGCTGTTTTCTTTACGGGGACAAACAATAAAGGAATTTAAAAAATTTCTTTGGTCCCCGCAATGAAGGGGAATAAACAAACGAAACAAAAGAAAAAACTTTATTTCACATACACAAAAAATATACAAGGAATACTAATAATAATTGGATACTTTACATTACAGTATTATTTCGGGGGATTTGAACTTCACAATTTACAGTACATGTAAAAAGATACTTGTTACAGGCAGTCTCAATTAGGAAGTCAGACTTCCTCCATGCGATCACACAAATATAATCAGACTTATTTTATATCCTGCAGATTGCAGAATTCAGATTAAGCACAAACATTCACTTTTTTGGTTGAACATTACAGCATATGTATCCTCTCTCTGTCAAAACACATCATTTTCTGATATTGACTGTGATTCCTTTACAGTTTCCAAAAAAACCAAGGGCACAAATGGGCAGAGCAAACTGACACGTACTGTGAATAATGTGTAATGTGCAATGACATGATGAAATCTGCAGCACTTTTATGTGAACAACTGATTCAAAAAAGAAGGCCTATAAAGCCTTAAGTGAAAGGAAAACCATTCTTTTATTTAGTTTGAGATTAGATGAAAGTAGTCAGAGAGTAATGTGCATTTTAAATACAAATACAAGCAAAACATAAATCCCCTGACTGCTGACAATATATTAAGGTCTTTTGAAATGAAATGACAGGTCTGTGCAAGCAGCTGAACATTGATCAGAGCTTTGACAAATGTTCATGAGCAAGTTCACAAGAGTCGAGGATACACACACATTTAAAGAAAAATCCCACAGAAACGAAAGGAAAACCATTCATTTGGGAACTTTGTGGCAATTGCAACGTAAATAATTTACGTTTTGTCAGTTTAGGGGGTAATTCAAATGAATTTGTACGAGTTCAGCCGTACGAAAACATGTGATTTTAAAAAGGAGGCCTGGCACCTAACCCCAACCGTCATTGGGTGGTGAGCAAATTGTAATAATTTGTACCAATTAGCCACTAAATCAAAAAGTAACGAATTGCCATGAGGTTGTGTTGGGATTTCTCTTAGACATACTATGTATACTAAACAACCCTCTGAACAAATAAAAAAATGTTGCATTTTCCAAAATACTTCGTTCTGTATTATTTATAAGCTGTTTTCTTCATGGGTGATGCAGTAGGTAGTGCTGTCGCCTACAGCAAGAAGGTCGCTGGTTCGAGCCTTGGCTGGATCAGTTGGCGTTTCTGAGTGGAGTTTGCATGTTCTCCTTGCATTCCTTTGGGTTTCCTCCGGGTGCTCCAATTTTGGCTAAAATGTCTGTAGTGTATAAGAAGACCCAGAAATGGGTTGCAGCTGGAAGGGCATCTGCAAGTAAAACATATGCTGGATAAGTTGGCGGTTCATTTCGCTGTGGCGACCCCAGATTAATAAAGGGACTAAGCCTAAAAGAAAATGAATGTTTTCTTCATGGGGACAAATAATAAAAGAATTTTAAAAACGACTTTGGTTCCTGCAATGCAGGGCATAAATTAAACAAAAGAAAAAAATATTTTACATACACACAAAATGTACAAGAATCATTTCGCGCGATTTGAACTTTACAATTTACAGTACATTCAAAAAAAACAAAAAATAATTTTTACAAGCAGTCTCAATTAGGAAGTCAGACTTCCTCCATGCGATCACACAAATATAATCAGACTTATTTTATATCCTGCAGATTGCAGAATTCAGATTAAGCACAAACATTTACTTTTTTGGTTGAACATTACAGCATATGTATCCTCTCTCTGTCAAAACACATCATTTTCTGATATTTGCTGTGATTCCTTTACAGTTTCCGGAAACACCAAGGGCACAAATGGGCAGAGCAAACTGACACGTACTGTGAATAATGTGTAATCTGCAATGACATGATGAAATCTGCAGCACCTTTATGTGAACAACTGATTCAAAAAAGAAGGCCTATAAAGCCTTAAGTGAAAGGAAAACCATTCTTTTATTTAGTTTGAGATTAGATGAAAGTAGTCAGAGAGTAATGTGCATTTTAAATACAAATACAAGCAAAACATAAATCCCCTGACTGCTGACAATATATTAAGTTCTTTTGAAATGAAATGACAGGTCTGTGCAAGCAGCTAAACATTGATCAGAGCTTTGGCAAATGTTCATGAGCAAGTTCACAAGAGTCGAGGATACACACACATTTAAAGAAAAATCCCACAGAAACGAAAGGAAAACCATTCATTTGGGAACTTTGTGGCAATTGCAACGTAAATATTTTACGTTTTGTCAGTTTAGGGGGTAATTCAAATGAATTCGTACGAGTTCAGCCGTACGAAAACATGTGATTTTAAAAAGGAGGCCTGGCACCTAACCCCAACCGTCATTGGGTGGTGAGCAAATCGTAATAATTTGTACCAATTAGCCACTAAATCAAAAAGTAACGAATTGCCATGGGGTTGTGTTGGAATTTCCCTTAGACATACTATGTATACTAAACAACCCTCTGCACAAATAAAAAAATGTTGCATTTTCCAAAATACTTCATTCTGTATTATTTATAAGCTGTTTTCTTCATGGGTGATGCAGGTAGTGCTGTCGCCTACAGCAAGAAGGTCGCTGGTTCGAGCCTTGGCTGGATCAGTTGGCGTTTCTGAGTGGAGTTTGCATGTTCTCCTTGCATTCCTTTGGGTTTCCTCCGGGTGCTCCAATTTTGGCTAAAATGTCTGTAGTGTATAAGAAGACCCAGAAATGGGTTGCAGCTGGAAGGGCATCTGCAAGTAAAACATATGCTGGATAAGTTGGCGGTTCATTTCGCTGTGGCGACCCCAGATTAATAAAGGGACTAAGCCTAAAAGAAAATGAATGTTTTCTTCATGGGGACAAATAATAAAAGAATTTTAAAAACGACTTTGGTTTCTGCAATGCAGGGCATAAATTAAACAAAAGAAAAAAAATATTTTACATACACACAAAATGTACAAGAATCATTTCGCGCGATTTGAACTTTACAATTTACAGTACATCCAAAAAAAACAAAAAATAATTTTTACAAGCAGTCTCAATTAGGAAGTCAGACTTCCTCCATGCGATCACACAAATATAATCAGACTTATTTTATATCCTGCAGATTGCAGAATTCAGATTAAGCACAAACATTTACTTTTTTGGTTGAACATTACAGCATATGTATCCTCTCTCTGTCAAAACACATCATTTTCTGATATTTGCTGTGATTCCTTTACAGTTTCCGGAAACACCAAGGGCACAAATGGGCAGAGCAAACTGACATGTACTGTGAATAATGTGTAATCTGCAATGACAAGATAAAATCTGCAGCAAATGTTATAATGCAGAAAAGCTAATTCATGCTTTAACGGCTTTGTGACTAGATTATAGTGTTACTTAGTGATTGCCCTGTAGCCTATGGTTCAAAATGCAGCATGTGCTTACCAGAAATAATAAATATCAATTATACATTTGATAATTCGATTGATTTTAAAGCCCATTCCCCAAATCACACCATAAGAAAAATGGCATCTCATATCTCTCTGTTTCCTGATGTTCACATTATTTTGGATCTAGTTTGTGTCCGGAGGAGATGGTTGTCGTGCTCAGAGGGCGTCCTCAACACAGATTCACATACTTAGAGAGGACATTGACCAAATGAGTCTCTACATAAGTCTCTTTGCCCAGCTAGAACACTCATCCCAAACCTAGTTGGACCTGCACCTTTACCATGATGGATACTCACAGTTTTCAAGGTCTCATACATTGTTCACCTGTGTCTTTCTAGACTCCAGCTCTGCCTCTTATCTGTTTGGCCAGAGGAGATCAAACCCAATTTTTCCCGAGGTTTGATCTTCATTTCTATCAATTCATGAGCTTGTTTGGCTGACCTGGGAGAGAGCCCTGAGGTCAAAAGATCACCGAGCCCAGGGCTCCCTTCCATTTACTGGGCGAGGAGGGGAGTTTGAGCTCAGGTAGATCTCGAGAACTCCCCTTCTTATTTATGCCTAATGACAAATTAGATTGCTATGAAGAGATATACTGCTGACTAAGAGCTTGTCTATGGTGCTAATTTGGTTTAGTCAATTCACTTATGTTGCATATCTGTAGACAACTGAGGAACTGGGGAACCCGGGGGAAACCCACGCAAGCACGGAGAGAACATGTAAACTCCACAAAGAAAAATTGACTGGTAAAGATTAAACCAGTGACATTCTTGCTGTGAGGCAACAGTGCTACTTTTGTGAAAAAGGAATATGTTTTTTTTGTCTCTTTTTATTAAACAATTGTATTTGTATTGCTTAAGGTGATACAGTATATATTAACCAAACTTCTCAAGTGTGATATGTTTTGCGTACTCATTTTTGCAGAAGTAGATGAAGCTGAAAGAAATGCAAAGGCCTGATTGTCTAAAATCAACTTGAGCTCTGCAGCAAAACTTCCTGCAAGCACAGAATTAGCAGTTGAGAAGGCTTGTCAATTTGTCTTTGTGCAGAGAATTCATAGAAAAAGAGGATGCATGTTTGTGTGCGGCCAGTGGGGGACTGGAGAATGATTGACAAGTGACGAATTCCACCAAACTCCAGCTGTTAATATCAGCTATAAAAGCACAAATCAGGAAATGACATTTGTTGAGCGCCTCCTGAATGTAACTTTTGCATATGAGGATACCAGAATTCTGTTAATCGAATTATTAATTTGTATCCAATAAATTATTAAGATTTTTGACATTGAAGAAAAACCTCTCCTGGTCTTTTTTATTGAACACGCATGGAATGGTGAATCAAGTGTTAGCTAATGCGGGATCAGCCATGGTCAATCATAAGCATCAGCATGTGATCCTCTCAAAACTAGTTTATAAATAAACTTCACTTGATGGATTTTTTGTCGCAAGCAATGCACTGTAGCCTTTGGCTGTCTGATTAGCGCAGACAGAGTTGTTCATAAGTGGATCATCTTTTACCATTAACATTCATATTGAACTGAACTGAATTAACTAGCCAGAAATAATATACACCAGCATTCTGACACTACTCTGCAGCCTTCTTAATATTGAACATGTCCAACAAATTAAAATGTTATTATCTGACTTTTCTTAAGTCTCCTGTTCATCCATGTAAAGCCATTTTTTTTGAGAGGAATGAGGAACAGCAACCACGGAAACTCCACTGACACGATTTCAAGACAAAACACATCCACATTCCTCTAACCATCGTGACTGTAATTACAGGGAAATTCCCTGTAACCTAAATCCTAACTTCAGGCCTTTCAAGATTTAGGACACGGACACGGACACACACACACACACGGACACACACACGGACACACACACGGACACACACACACACACACACACACACATACACACACACACAAAATTGAAACTAAAACATAACTAAATGAAAGTGAAACGAACAAAAGCATTTATAAACCAGCAATCATCTCTGAGCGTATCATAACGGTGCCAGTGTGGTGAACTGAGTGAGTACCAACTTGTCTTCTTCTTACTTCAAATCTTTATATTCTCATTGTGTCTTTGGAGGAACTTGAACAAGTATGCAAACTAACTGTGCAGATAAGAGACTTCCTGGTTGTCTGTGCATTTGAGACATTTCGTGTAGGCTATGTTAATAGACATTCAGAAAATATTTTTAACACATCAGAATTTAGATGTAAAACAGATTTTTTTTATATCAGATTTAGTATGGAGCTAATAATATGCAAAACAATCTGAATTTAAATGTGTTAATTAGAATTATTGACAATTGTAATTTTATAAATCTGAATTTTAATATGCCGTTAAAACTTGTTTTGAATTCGATTTTCTTAATTTAAATTTGAATTTTATAACTTGAATATTGAACATGAGAAATTTTAGACAACTGATTTTTTTAAGTAGAATTTTTATTTATATTTTTAAACTTCAGATTTTTTTGTGTTCTGAATTCATAGACTGCAGATATCCAGTTTGTAAAAATACAGATTTCAAGTTTCAAGATGAAGAAGTTCAAAACCAGAAATTCAGATTCAGAAAAAAGTTGGTCAGGGCAGGGGTAAACAACAGGGAAGAGTAGACGAAAAAAATCTGAAGTTTGAAAATACGTCTATAATATTTATTATTTATTCATTCATTTTTATTAAGTTATGAAATTCGAATTCAAATTAAGAAATTCTGATTACAAACTTTTTTAACAGCATATAAAAATTCAGATTTATTAAATTACAATTGTCAATAATTCATATGAACACAATTCAAATTCAGATTGTTTTGGCATAATATTAGCTCCATTGTATGTTGTAACACTGTACAATAAAGTTGTATTAGTACATGTTAATTAATGTATTTATTAGCATGAACCGGCATCGAACAGTACATTCATTACAGTATTTTTTGTCTTTGTTAATGTCATTTAATGATTATTTAATGTTAAAGTTAAGTGCATTAATTGCATTAACAAGCATGAATGTGTATTTTAGTAACGCGTTACTGATCTATGATTAATAAATGCAGTGCAAGTATTGTTCATTATTATTTAACATTAACTAATGACACCTTATTGCAAAGCGTGATCGTTGGATTGTTGTGTGATCGATGGGGTTTCTGGACTGCAAATCTAAATGTTGCGGTTTGTCAAACTACCCACATAGCAAAATTTCTCTGGCCCAGCTCTGGCCCACACAATCAGGTTTTGCTTGGCCCACATGCCGCAGTGAATTACGGTACATGACTGGACCAAATCTGGCTTCCAGACAAGGGCCAAACACAGACCATATCTGGGCCAAGTCTCAGCCAAGTTAATAACTCATAACTGGGCCTGAACTGAGCCAGATAGGTTGGTGTGTCACGATTGCAATAAAATTAATAAACCCATGGAGTGATGCGCTTTAGGCACACTATGGGCACGCTTTTTCTCAAAGTGACCTGATTGGTAGAATTTTTTTTCTTTACTCAAAAATGATTTTAGTGTATTTTAAATGTGGGTCAAGACTGGCCAAACTCACATGGCCCACTTTCAAATTTTTAAATCTGGGCCAAATACTACATTTTTCATCTGGTCCAAATCTTGTGTACCGCCTTAAAGACGGTGCCACCTCTGCCAAACCCGGGCCATGTTTGGCCCACATGCTGTATGCCAGTGCCGGATGAATGCCTGCTGTGCCAGCTTTATGCCAAATCTGGGCCAGAATTCTTTGCTACTAGGGTAAGTACACTCCAGAACAGTGTGGATTGCTGAAATTTGTTTTCTTACTCCACTCATCCCACATGGAAATGAGGATATACTGTATGCGCTTATATGAAACCTATATGCAAAATATATGCACATATATGATAATATATATATGCTGCATATACCTGTATATATTCCATATATAGGCAAAATTGAGGTGCATATATGCATATACAGGCCATATCCTGTATTGCTTCTTTATAAGCCGTATACCTATAAGATATATCTCCTATATCATATCTCACTATGGCAACTGTCATACATGATGCCTGGCTCATATTTACTATTATCAAGGCAATATCTACTGTAAGAGCTAACAAAAAATGCAGAAAACATATGTATGTGTGAAATTAGTATCTGGTATAATGGAGTTTAACATGGCAAATAAGTGAAAGGAAATGGAAAGCTATATGTCTACACATTTTCCTGAAACCTTTACAAGGTCAATTCTTTCTTGTATCAAGACAGCGGAAAAGTACGGAATTAAATGTATGACAAAATAACTTCTTTTTTAATTTAATTTTATTATTAGTTTTTTTTTGTCTTATTTTTGTTCTTGTACTATATTTTTTTCTTGTACTTTTTGATTGTTCTTAGGAAAATAAAAATGCGAATTTATTTTATGTTGTCTAGCAGCTATGGATTTTAATAATTTTACTAATATATAGACCTTTTTCATGGCTGCTGCATGGAGGGCGCCATAGCGACCAGCGTCTTCCGGTAGAATGCTAAAATGCTAGAATGCACAGATATTGTTACGTTCAAATAAGGGTCAGAGAATCCAAGTGAAAGTGACAATGTTTATTTAACTTGATGTGCTCATGCAAAGTTATAGCAAATATGAGTGTATATATTTAAAATGAAGCAACCATCAGAGAAACAGACAGCGTGGGAAAACAGCTGCTCAAGTTAATGCGTAATTTTTAATTTTAAGTATTTAAACATTTTAAGTATATTAAAATAAGTAATGTAATGTGTGACGTTTATACTATTTTTCTAAACTTTTATACACTTTTATCAGTTTTAATTGCACTGTAACAGTGCACTTGTTATGTGTCTGCCTTTTTATTGATCAAGTGATCGAGGGATAACATTAAGAAGGTAAGCAGTAATAAAATTATTTTTAGACAGAATAATAATCCCATTAATCTAGTAACAGTGCAATTATTTATGAAAAAAGCTCGTACGTGACTTTGTTCTGTGTGTGACAAAAATGTAGGCAATAGCTGCGTTTCCATCCAAATATAGGCTATTACAATTGTGCAAAACTGGAATAACGCCTAAAAATAAAGCAGCGTTTTTATCCAAAGAGTCGAAGAGAACACAATCGTCACTTCCTGATTAACTTGCGCCAAATATCAACAGTAAAAACAGAATTTACTGCGGTAGAAGAAGCTGCATCAATGATTTTTTATTTAATTAATGTACCTGAGCCTTAGAAGACAATTGACACACAATGAACACGTGGGGGCGTTTGAAGCCAGACGCGGAGATCTTGACACGCTCCAGACGCTCGGAGGTAATTAATAATATACTCTAATACTGAAACAGTTCAGGCATTTTAGAATGACTAAAACAACATTTAAGATGTTCTACAGTGTGCTCAGTCTGCTGGTTTGTCCTTTCACACACATTTTCATCATCATCTCTAACAAACCATTTTTTTTAATGTACTGTAATTTGTTAAGTGCACTTCGTAGTTTATGTGCATCTTATCAAATAAAAGTTTAACCTACTCAGTTATGCACATGTTTTATTATGCGTATTTTCAAAAGTTATGTGAATCATGACGTTTCCATCAATCTTTTTTATGCACATCTCCAAAATGAGCTCTAAAATAGGTGTGTGGAAATGTAAGACTATATGCGAGAAATACCGCAGTATTTAGCGCGCTTCATCTTTAAAAAAGGGGAGGAGACCGACAGAAACTCAGAGTTTAGAGAATAAAACCTGCTCCAGACCAGGTTAGATTCACAGAGTAAGTTACCACGGTAACTGACTCTGAGTTAAAGTTAACTCTCTTTTAGAAACAGGCTTGACTTACCCAGCTTTCTCGAGTTTAACAAACCTGCCATTTTAAAACGGAAAACCCAGAGTTTCTCTCATTTCAGGGTTAAACTACTCTGAGTTTTAACTTAACCTGCTTTCTGAAACAGGCCCCGGAGAAGCGCACAAACCTGCAAGCTGCAACCGTGACAGATATACTGTATACGGTTGAAGTCAGAATTATTAGCCCCCCTCAAATTTTTTTTTTAATATTCCCAAATGATGTTTAACATAAGCAAGGATTTTTATTACAGTATGATAATATTTTTTTCTTTTGGAGAAAGTCTTATTTGTTTTATTTCGGCTAGAATTAAAGCTGTTTTAATTTTTTAAGCACCATTTTAAGGACAAAATTATTAGCCCTTAAGCTATATTTTTTCGATAGTCTACCGAACAAACCATGGTATGCAGTAACTTGCCTAATTATCCTATCCTGCCTTTAACCTAATTAACCTAGTTAAGCCTAATAATTCTGACTTTAACTATGCATGCATATATGAACCTATATAGTTATATGTATGCACGTATTTACACATATACAGTTGAAGGCGGAAATATTAACCCCTCTGAATTATTAGCCACCCAGTTTTTTTTTTTACCCTAATTTCGGAGAGAGAAGATTTGTTCAACACATTTCTAAACATAATGGTTTTAATAACTCATGTCTAATAACAGATTTATTTTATCTTTGCCATGATGACAGTAATTAATATTTTACTAGTTATTTAATTTTTCAAGATACTTCTATACAGCTTAAATCGACATTTAAAGGCTTAACTAGGTTAATCAAGTTAACTAGGTTAGGGTAATTAGGCAAGTTTTTGTATAATGATGGTTTGTTCTGTAGACTATCGAAAAATATAGATTAAAGAGGCTAATAATTTTGACCCTAATTATTTATTTATTTATTTAAAACTGCTTTTGTTCTAGCCAAAATAAAACAAATAAGACTTTTCCATAAGTCTTTTTTTTCTTTTTCTTTTCTTTCGTTTTTTCCGTGTGGGATGTAGCTGGTTAAAAAAACAAAAACTGGTTGGGCAAGCTCACAGTTGGCCTGGGGAGCCTGCAGAGTTTTGAATCAGGAGCAAGAAAAACTCACCTTCCCAATTTCTAGGAAACCTTTGATTATAGCTCACTCTGGTGTGTTTGATTAAGTTAAAGTGCAACTATGGAGCAACTTATTTTAAGATTCAGCTTTTGTCATCAGATAACAGAATGCATCATGAAAACTGCCAAACATTGTGCTGTTTAAATACAACAGACATATAATCTCTCTCACGTATGCTCTTAATAAATCTCATATTGCCTATACCTCCACCTGTCTGTGTCTATATTAATTCAGTAATGTACACAAATTATAATGTTGTTATTTAATGTCACATAATTTAAATATAAATGAATATATATAAATATATTTTTCAGAATTGGTTGGACATGTCTTCATTCGATTCGGCAGAGGGAGAATGTAATGGTCTAAACCAGCACTATGAAAAGAAAGTACGTCCAATCATTGACCTAGTGGACACTCTCAGGGCATTAGGTGTTGAAAAGGACCTGAACCTGCCTGCTATTGCTGTCATCGGTGACCAGAGCTCAGGAAAGAGTTCAGTGCTGGAAGCCCTGTCTGGAGTGGCGCTGCCGCGGGGAATAGGTAACTCAAGCACAATGATCATTGTTGAATGTTTTTACTCTACGTTGTTCTTAGTTTGAGATTAAAATTTTAATTTGTCTTGTGCCAAATCTGTCTTAAAATGTACCATATCTTGTTGCCTTCAGGTTGTGTAGACCTGCATTTGCCTTCTGTTACTTACTACATGCAGTGTTGAGGGTAACACTTTATAAATTATAATATTACTTTTTAAAGTAACGGGTAAAGAAACACATTACTTTTAAAAATAAGTAACATAATTTGAGTTAGTTAAAAAAATGTAACGTGTGTTACTTTTTACTTTGCTTAATTGGCTTTTAATAAATATATTGCAGAATAAAATTGACCTTAGTTAGGTTGAGTCACACACTCAAAGACAGAGCGTGCTGCGAGGGAACAGACAGTCGACTCACACTCATCTCTTTTTCAGTACTGTTCTACTAACTGAATAACTCAGGTCTATGTATTTATTATTTTATTTTGAGTCAGAGAGTGGTATCCGTTATGCTAGACGCAAACTGTTTCACAACAACTCAATTTAATTAATTGGTTTAGCCAGTTCACTTAAAAGATCTGGTTTAAACAAAGGATTAATTCGTAAATCATCCATCATCACTGCAGACAACTATTGGCAGGTCGGAGACTTACATTTTTGCAATGGATTCTTGTCATTTTGAACTCATCGAAGAAAAGAAGTGGATTGTCGTTAAGTGTAGTAGATTATGTGTAAGTAAAACTCTTGTCAACGGCAAGAAACACGACTACTTTCAAAAGTAACTTTCCCCAACACTGACTACATGTGTAAATTGGTGGGTGGAGCTAAACAGTCAGTAACGTAGAAGTGGACAATGATCATCTTCTGTGGACGCGGGGTGTTTAGACAAACGCTACGTAAAAAACGTGGCACATCTCCTCCTACCATTTTAGCAGATTTAATATATTCCATTTTTAGACTAACAAGATAGTTTTGAGTTCTAAAACGTACACAATGTTTTTATAGTACAATGATTGAAAGAGTTTCGATTTTTCTGTTCATGGTCCATTTAAAAGTGTTCTTCAGCTGATCATCCCTATTGAACACAGGTATTGTGACTCGATGTCCTCTGATTCTGAAACTAAAGAAAATCACAAGGGATAAAAACTGGTCTGGATTGCTGACATATAAGGATCAAACTGAAATACTCAAGGAACCAACGGGAATAGAGAATGCTGTCCTGAAGGGTTGGTATTTATTAATATGTAGTTCTTTAATGCCCTGTGATTCTTTAATGCTTTAATCTGTGGGTTAATCTGTGGGATGATTGTGTCTTTGTATTGTTTTGTAGCTCAAATTGCGTTGGCTGGAACAGGCGAAGGGATCAGCCATGAAATGATCACTCTGGAGATCCAGTCATGTGATGTTCCTGACCTCACTCTCATTGACCTGCCAGGTATTGCTAGAGTCGCCACTGGCAACCAGCCAGAAGACATTGAGAAACAAGTAAGGCACAGTTTGTCGAGCAATTTCTGTGGAAATGTTAGACTTATTCATCAGTACAGTACTGCTTCAAGTCATTTTTGTTTTCTGTAACAGATAAAAGATCTTATTGAAAAGTTCATCAAAAGACAAGAGACCATCAGCTTGGTTGTGGTGCCTGCAAACATTGACATCGCCACCACTGAGGCTCTGAAGATGGCATCCACAGTCGACCCAACTGGACAAAGGACTTTATGTATGTTACGTTACATGTACAGTAGGCTGATATTTTGCTAAATTCAATGTTGTTTTACATCTTCAAATAAGAGTAAAGCAAACACATCTTCAATCTGCAGGTATTCTGACCAAACCAGATTTAGTGGACAGAGGAATGGAGGACACGGTGGTCAGAACAGTCAATAATGAAGTAATACGCCTAGAGAAGGGCTATATGATAGTCAAGTGTCGAGGTCAGCAAGACATCAACGACAAGCTTAATCTGGTTGAAGCTCTGGAAAAAGAAAGAAGATTTTTTGATGAACATCCTCAATTTAGGCAAGACGTTAATTTGGCTACAAATTAGATAATTTTTTAGATTTTTTATTTTTTAGATTATTTTTATTACAAATTGGATTATTTCTTTCTGTGCAGCGCAGTTCATTTTATACCCATGTAAGGGTAAAAGATGAGAGACATGATCATCTATCAGTGCTGGTTATTTCATATTGTTATTTTATTATTATTATAGATAATTGTTCAGTTCTTTTTTCCAGACAGATGTTATAGGCTTTAGAAAAAAAAGATTGATGCTTCTTCACATGCCATTTGTTGATATTTTAAATCGTTTTTGGAAATTAAAATGCTGTTGTTTAGCAACAACCACAAACATTAGGAAAATGATTTAGATTAGTATTTTAAAATTTACACTGGTCATTGTCTGTACAGCTTGATTTGATCTATCAGGTAAAAAATAAATTAAAAAAAAAAAAAAATAAATAAATAAATAAATAAATAAATAAATAAATATATATATATATATATATATATATATATATATATATATATATATATATATATATATTTTTTTTTTTTTTTTTTGTTAACGATTATATCATAGGAGAAAAATATGATGCAATATGCAAGTCATCTTTAACATCATTGTTACTATTTAAACCCATTGTTCCCTTCAGTTCTCTTCTTGAAGATGGAAAAGCTACAATTCCCCTTCTTGGACAAAGACTCACAGAAGAATTGGTTGAACACATTGCTGTGTGTATACAAATTCATACATGCATAAATACTGACAATGAACATATTATCTGATTAAACTGAAGTCCAAACTAAAATCAGAATATGATACAGAATTCCTTTGTTAACTAATGTCTGATTTTGAATGTATTTTCTTGACATTTAGAAAAATGTGCCACGTCTGCAGAATCAGATTGAGATGAAATTACAGAAGACGTTTGAACGTCTCAAAGTACTGGGAGAGAGTGTTCCTGATGATGATGAAATAGAGCTGAACAATTTTCTGATTAAGGTAAGGTAAATCTGTTAATAACTGGGTTACACACTGGGCATGAATGGTGGAAGTCCTAAAGGTTTTCTTGTGAAATTAAATTATATTATTAATGCACTGACTTCACCCTATAGGATGGAAGATATGTTGGGTATATTGACAATTTTCAGTAAAAAGTATGCATTTTTATGACCACTTAAATAAGGTTTGCTGGTTTGTTTTATTTATGGAATATGTTTCAAATTAACTTTAAATTGAACTGTAACTTTAAGACTCTTCACTTTACTGAGAGTAAGTTTTATGCAGAAACTTCGCCAGTTCATGGATGCCCTTGAAGAAGTTAAGAGGGTCGAAGAGGAACCTGTAAAGTCAGACACAAGGGTCTTTTCCAAAATCAGACAGGAATTTGTATCATGGAAACACATCCTGGATTCCAAACCCATTAAGAGTGAGTTCATCATACTATGGGGTATACTGTATGCACACTTTTAATTTTCAGTAAGCTAGCTCAAGTGCTTCTGGTGAAATGTCATACAAAATTGGAACGTTTAAATTTGGTTTTAATGATCAATTAATGATCTTCACTGTCTGATTAACTTATATGATTTAAAGTTGGGATCCGACAAGACAAGAAGCACTGCATCAATTCCATTGTTCTGGGCCTTGTCTTATGGGATTCTATAGTCACCATTTTGAAGTAAAAGTAGACACTCCAAAGACATGTAATACAGGGGAATTTGGATATGCTAAAACTGACCGTAGTGTATAAGTGAGTGTGAATAAGAGTGTATGGATATTTCCCAGTGATAGGTTGCAGCTGGAAGGGCATCCGCTGCGTAAAACAAAACATACAATAAATAGACCGATTTTACCCTACTGCCTAATCTTCGTTTTGGAAGAATTCCCCCTTCCACTCCATCTCCTTCTTTTCCTCCCTTTTTTTTAGGGAGCTCTTGAGACCTACCTGATCTTGGACACCCTTTATATGCTTACTGACCAGGCGGGTGCCTTGGACTCAATTATCTCCAAGCTCAGGGTTCTTTCCTGAGACAGCATACCAAAATTGCTTTTAATGCCAAGCATATATAAGTGTGAACTCTTGAAAAATCTTCCCCTAATCAAAGGGGCAGTTTCTACAATTTACATCATTCGTGTCTGAAATGAAACAATTTTACTGATTGTTATGTTCTACTAATCAACCCTTTTGAAAACTATTTTTCTCTATATTTCACCCTTACACTTTCTAAAATATGCATGCTAGTAGGATTTAACTCTTTAGATTTAGTACGCTAATGGTTTTTTTCTTCCTTATTTAGTGTCAACGGATCTACAAGAGTATGTTAGGACTCACAGAGGAAAGGAGCTTCCTGGATTTCTAAACTATGGAACTTTTGCTGGCATTATTAGGATGCATGTTGAGGACCTGGAAGAACCTGCTTTAAAGCTGCTTAGAAATGCCAAAGGTTGATAACAATGTTTAATAGCAAACAAAATGTAGCACCTTTAAAAACAACATTACATGAATGCATATACTGATTATGTGATTTACCTCCCCTGTTTACAGACATTGTTCACTCCTCTGTGGGCTCTATTGCTAACATTCATTTTAATGGTTATCCTAACCTGTTGTTGGCTGTAAAAGAGCCAATAGAAAAATGTCTTCATGAGCAGTTTCAGAACGCTGAGGAAAAAATACGTTCTCAGTTTAAGTTGGAGAAGACTGTCTACTGCCAAGACGATCTCTACACTAACCACCTAAACCTTTTAAGACCAAAAAACACAGTACGTTTTGGGCTGGAGGCTTCACTTGGCAACTCAGAGTTACGGGAGACTGCATTCCATCTCACCTCCTATTTAACGGTAATATTTGTTCTTTAAAGAATAAAGTTTGTAATTTCTGTGCCTCTAGCGAACAGCTAGCAGATTTGCATGAAAATATTTAGAAATTCTAAATATGGCACCCCCCGGTGATGCAGTGGGTAGCCCGATCGCCTCACAGTAAGAATGTCGCTGGTTCGAGCCTCGGCTGGGTCAGTTGGCATTTCTGCGTGGGTTTCCTGTGGGTGCTTTGTTCCAAACTGCAAAGACAAGTGGTATAGGTGAATTATAAGCTAAATTGTTCTTAGTGTATGTGTGTGAATGAGTGTGTATGGGTGTTTCCCAGTTATAGGCTATCATTCCGCTGTGGAGACCCCTGATTAATAAAGGGACTAAGCTGAAAAGAAAGTGAATGAATGAATGAATGAATGAATTAGGCAAGGCAAGATTATTTATATAGCACATTTCATACACAGTGGCAAAGTGCTTTACATAAACAGGAATAAAAAAGACAAGTTTAGGAACATAAAATGCAGACAATAAAAATGATTATAAACAGATGAAAACAAATTAAAATTAGTTAAAATAGGTTATAAAAGAATGAAAAAGTAAACAAAAACACAATAGTGCGATCTGTCGGACGTAGCACAGTGCTCATACAGTGAAGGCACAGCTAAACAGATGTGTTTTCAGTCTTGATTTGAATGTGCCTAATGTTGGAGCACATCTGGTCATTTCTGGAGGCTGATTCCAGTAGTGAGGGGCATAGTGGCTAAAGGCAGATTTACCCTGCTTTGACTGGACTCTTGGTGTTTCTAGTTTGTTTGATCCTAGAGATCTGAGTGATCTTTTGGGTTTGTATTCAGTGAGCATATCTGTAATGTATTAAGGTCCTAGGCCATTTAGTGATTTACAGACCAGTAATAATACTTTAAACTCTATTCTGAATGTAACTGGGAGCCAGTGTAGAGACCTGAGGACAGGTGTGATGTGCTCTGATTTCCTGCTTCTGGTCAGAATCCTGGCCGCAGCGTTCTGGATGAGCTGCAACTGTCTGACTGTCTTTTTGGGAAGGACAGAAGGCCGTTACAGTAATCCACCCTGCTGCTGATAAAAGCATGAACAAGTTTCTCTAAGTCTTCACTGAAAACAAAGCATCTGATTCTTGCAATGTTTTTAAGATGATAGTATGCTGATTTACTAACTGCTTTGACATGACTGTTGAAACTCAGATCTGACTCCAGAGTCACACCAAGATTCTTGACCTTATTTTTTGTTGTTTGACCCTTAAAGCCAAGGTACGCATTCACCTTGAGAATCTCATCTCTGTTCCCAAACACTATGACTTCAGTTTTCTCTTTGTTTAACTGAAGAAAATGTTGGCACATCCAGTTGTTAATTTCATCAATGCATTAGCAGATGTATCAATGGGGCTGTAGTCATTAGGCAGTAAGGCTAGGTAGATCGGAGTGTCATCAGCATAGCTGTGGTAGGAGATTTGGTTCTTTCTCATTATTTGGCTCAGAGGGAGCATGTAAAATAATTAATTAATGAAATATGACACCCAGTCATTTCCCTGCAAACTGGTCAGTTTCCTTCTTAACAGCTTACTATTGTGACATACAGTTCAAATAACCAAAACTTCATCTTAATATGACTCTGAATGTTATTGTATGTATTTGCAGATTGCCTGTGAGCGTCTGGCTAACCAGATTCCACTGATAGTCCAGTATCACATGATGAACGAGTACAACTCTCAGCTTCAGAATGCAATGCTTGGCCTTATTGGAACAAGCGATCCAGGAATGCTGCTCTGTGAAGATTCTGGTGTTGCCCGTATTAGAAAAGATCTGAAAGAGCGACTGGAGCGCCTAAAGGATGCAAGAAGAGCCCTGCCTAAGGTTGTGCATTCTGCAAATTCATGGTAGAGCTGTCGCCTTACAGCAGGAAGATCCCCAGTTTGAGTTCCGTCTGGGTGTGAAATTGGGAGAGTCCCCATTTTCAAAAATGAAATTGCTTTTTCTTCAATTTTACATTCTTTTTTTAATATGAAACGGTTTATGTATGTTTTTATTACTTTTTAATTAAAACCAAACCTGGTAATGATGTTAATTTTAAATCCATTTACTGTTTTCCAATAGAAACATTTAAATCATGTTTGTTCTTTGGTCCACACTAGTTTGAGTCCTGGCTCGGTCAGTTGTCATTTCTGTGTGCTTTGCATGTTCTTCTCGTCTTGACGTGGATTTCCTCTGGGTGCTCAGGATTCCCCCACAGTCCAAAGACATGTGATATAGGTGAATTGAATAAACTAAATAGGCCGTAGAACGTAAAATCAGTGTGTATAGATTTTTCCCAGTACTGGGTTGCAGCTGAAAGGGCATCCGCTGTGTAAAACATGCTGAATAGGTTGGTGGTTTGTTCTGCTGTGGTGACCCCTGATGAATAAAGGGACTGAGCCAAAAAGAAAATGAATGAATGATTTATGTGAAAGGATAAATTGACAATCTTATCACAAAGCTTGTTATGTTTTACTTAAAGCTCTATTAAACAATAAGACTAATCATTCTCAGTGTGGTCTGTGGGGTTTCTGGTGTGAATGACACAGGAAAGCATAGTTTATTGTGGAGCCCAAAATAATAAATGAATGTTATCTGTTTAACTGTTGTTTCAAAATAAAAATCTACTGGTAAGAGGTTGTTGGAACTAATCTGAACACATGCATGTATATGCATTCATATTATATTTCAGTCTTAGTCTCCATGTGAACATTGAAATGAAACTTCTAAAATAGTAAAACACTGATAGCCTTTAACTGGCCTCCATACAGTCCAGAACGCAGAGCTGCATGCGATCTCATCCCCAACCCTAACCCTACCCCTTACAGTGACGCAATCTCAGCTTGCATCATCAAGGCTGCATCCCCCGATACTGTTGGAGAATCTACATTTGCAATAAAAAGGTACCATAATGTTGATGTATATGGTTTCTATTTGTAATTTAGGGTTCTGTAAATAAGGGGGAAATAAGTATATAGAATAGAAAGTGCTTATATTAGATGGGCTTGAATATGATTTAGGATCTCGCTGTAAATACAAATATACAGAAATTCATACAAGAAATCCTACAAAATATCATATTTACCTGTATATCGACATACTAAGCAGCAGATGGCGCTGTGTGTCCACCGTCTTCATCTGTCGGTGCTTTAGAAGAAGAGTATTTTCCAGCGCACTCCTCCATCATGTCCTCTCCACTGCGCACCATGATTTCGCGCCTCTCGCTCTTTCGTCCGGCTCACACCAGATATGCCGCTGCTGCTCACTTTCATGCAACGTCAAACTGCAGTGGCGCAAGAGTCGCTGTTGTAAGTAACGTTAATGTTGCAGACCCTGACCACTGTTGCACATTATTAACCCAGTTTGTCAAATTAGCTTTACAAAGTTGTGTGCAATTATCAATATTTTGTGAATGTTTTCTGCGTGTGGATTTCTAGGCTTTACTTAACGTTAGTAGTTCTTTCTAGTCAGTTATGGTATGGATTATGTCACCCATGAAGTTGAAACAGTCAAGTTTTCTTGAGTTTTTTTCTTCCATTCCAGGTTACTTTAACTGTCATTGTACTTTCATTAGGTGTTGTCTGGATGTGGTGTTTTTGATGGCACTGAAATCCATGAGGCGTCAGCGTGAGTAACGTTACTGTTATAACGTTAAGTTAGTATATATAATAAGTTAGTTTACTTCCGTTTTCCTTTCCTGGGTTGTTCACCACAACAACCTGTAGATATATAGTTAATATAATGAGGTCAAGGAGGTTTTATATATACGCACAATTGTACACTTTTGAACTGTGAAAACTTGTGACACGGTCCCTATATTTACATGCCACTTTGAATATTCATTCTGAAATCGGATTTCACTATTTAATGGCATGTGAACAACGGTTGTAACGTCCTATAGTTCATTGGCTGCTAATATATATTCCCTATTTAGAATTTGCTAAAAAGAAAAAAACAAAAAACAACAAGACTTCTGCAAAGATATTGAGAAACCCTGAATGTGCGAATGTAACACCAAGTTTACCTCAGTGTTAACAAATCTATAGTTGTAAAATTTAAATGACATTACACTGAACTAAACTCAACTTCAACAATAAATATCGAACAGAAGCAGTTTCAATTTACTTTAACTTTGTCTATATTAAGCAGCTTTGACATCTATTTTGTAAAAAAAAAAGTACTTCGTAAAAAGTGCTAAAGAAATAAAGATGAATTTAGTTGAAATTGAACAAATAGCAAAGAAACTGAAAGTTCTATTAATGTATGGGTATAATCATGTACTGTAATGTAATATATAAACACTGTTATAAATTTATCAAACATTAAGTGTTCAGTGTCATGCACTGTTCCCTCTAGAAGAAAGACAAATCTGGACTCAGTCTGGACTCAGACCTTACTTATTGTGACATGTTCTAAATGTCTATAAAAAGCTGAAACAAAAGCTATTTGTTTATGGGTAAATTAGGACAAATTTGTCTTTTTCTGTTTCTAAATAGTTTCTTCATGGCATAATCTTGTCCACCTTGTCATATTGTTTGCCAGTTTGGCCACCCACAACAAATGATATCTTGGAGCAAACAGCTAGACTGCACAATTAGGCATGGGACGATAATCTTGTTCAAGGTATATCGCGGTTTGGAAAAGTCAAGATTTTAAAACCACCCAAATTTTCTGCTTTACCATCCCTAAGGTATGAGTAAGATTTTTTTATTAACATTTTTTTTAGAACAGCAGTATCTCCAGCGGAAAAGATCTCCTAAGTTGCCATTTTAAATTGTAAAAAAAAAAAAAAAAAAAATCTGTGTTTTTAAAACTAATGAAGACAGCAGAAGTCCATGATTTATTTGAATTATGGCCTATAAGATACACAATAGACTTTCTGGATGGACACATCACTGCTTTGCTCTATCACTCTCTAATGCTTTATCATTTCAAAATTGCATTATGAACACAAGGGTTAAACTGTACAATCACATTTTAAATACGGCTACCTCAGCAGTCCTTTGTGCTCTGGTACCAAAACTTAATGCAAGGACTAATTGTTCCACCAGATCTGCAACAAATGGATGTCTGTCATTACCGACTTTTATAAAACTGTTGTGGACAGAGATCCTTTTATGTATTCACAAAAGTCTGGAATGAGATCCCACAAAATCTAAAAACAATACCAACACTGAGACTTCTTAAAAAAAAAATGCCATGCTCGTCATCTAATGGTCCACTATCGCTGTGGCCACTGAGATCAAAGCTTGTTTCTCTTTATTTTACATGTTTGGTGATGGATTATACTGTTCTCATGTGTTGATGGATGAGATGTTAGGAGTGTCTGTATGTTTTTATGTTCTGCAGAGCAGGAGTCTGCTGAAAAACAGCATTCATGCAGAGTCGGGCCCGATTATTTAAATGTTATTCCAGTTTAAAAATGATAAATAAATGAATAAATAAATAAATGTGTAATTTAGGGTCAAAACTATTGCTGTAATATTTTTAGTACAAACTCTTTAGCTTTTTTTATGTTTGTGTATGCAGAATCCTGGTGCATCTGAGCCGTGGAGGTGCAGAGGTTCAGATGTTTGCTCCTGATGTATCTCAGATGCATGTAATAGACCATGGCAAAGGTCAGCCTTCGGAGACCGAGTCGAGGTGAAGTCTTAACCCTGACAATGTCTGTTCATTAAAACAGTTGAACATAAACGTAAAAACAGTTCATTAGATTTGTTCATGAGCTGATCTGAAAAGATCAAGTGAATAATTACTCTCAACTTTTCTGTCTGCATAGGAATGTCTTATCTGAATCGGCACGTATCGCCAGGGGCAACATCACTGATCTGGCCAAGCTGAGTGCCAGTAATCACGATGCCATCATCTTCCCTGGTGGTTTTGGTGCAGCTAAAAACCTGTGAGTTACAGTACTTCTTTTCATAAACAGGTGGTATATCATCATTTTAATAGTGTACAGTGCACACCACCAATGCTACAACTTTAAAAAATTGGCATTCAGTGTCGCCAGATATAGCTGACTTAATTATTTAATTTAATTTTAATTTATTTAAATCTAATTTAAGCTAGTTCCTCAAACGGTCATAATGTTTTAACTATACAGCAACCAACACCAGCTGTCACAGAACCACAAAATAACTGTATCACATCGAAACACTGCCTCCTCCTACCAACACACTGAACTTGTTATGTAGATTACACTACCTACTGTATTAGCGTATGGTTTCCTTTTGAAGTTTGTCCCATTTGGCATTTTAAATTCTTTTGATTAGATGCTGCTATTCAATCAGACAACGCTTCTGTTTGTTGTTGTTGTTAATGTCCATTGCAGAAAAAAATGATCGATGAAAGTGTCATGATAAACCGATGTGAGTTTAACTGCAGGCGCTGCGTGATGTGCGTGCACGTGAAGGGTAGTCAGTTTTTTCTTGAGTCAGATTTTGATTCAACTTTCCTTCACCTCCTTTTTTGAGTGGGGCTACACAGTTTGCGCTATGCATTGGTCACTACTAACTGAATGGAGTAGGAGCACACAGTTGTGTTGTTAAAAAAGTTTCATAAAAAATATACCTTTCAAAATCACCTAAATTTTGTCAACCTGCATATTTCATATTTTACCCACACAATCAAATTCAAAACTATGGCTCAATCTGGCAACACTGTTGGCATTGCTTGCATTTAAAGGAGTTTTAATTAGTCACCAGTGTTCTGTTGCAGTCCTCATTTCTCTAATAAATTTGTATGCATTTTTACCATTATCAGGTCCACATTTGCCATTGATGGGATGGATTGTGAGGTGAATAAAGAAGTGGAGCGGGTTTTAAAGGACTTCCATAAAGCAGGAAAGCCTATTGGGTTAGTTGTTACATATGTATATTACTAAAGATTAGAGACCAATGCTTTGAACACATTTTGTTGTCTCTAGCTTTTATGTTATAAGTCTTAATTTTTCAAGGTAACATCATGAAGAATTATTTTGTAATGCTGGTGTTGTAACATTTGAAGCTACTTTAAAGGCACAGATGAAAAAGTGAAAAAAAAAATACAGACAAAATAAAATGTATATCTGTGGCCCTTGAAAATACAAACTTGTCTGATAAAGTTAAATGAGCAGTCTAAACATCTATTTCATGGTTTAGATGTAAAGCCAGAACCAATTATTACCATGCTGGGAAAGGCTAATAAAGTTGGGAAAAACAATACAAGGAAATGATGCCTAATTATAAGTCAGTAACTAAGTACAGGTGGTTCAAGAACTCTGATATTAGCCTGGGTAAGAGTTTTGAAGTGCTGTATAGAGAGCATGATCATGTTTTGTTGTTGACTAGTCTTGTCTTCTGGTTGCAGGTTGTGCTGTATTTCTCCTGTGCTGGCTGCTAAAGTTCTCCCTGGTGTAGATGTGACAGTGGGTCATGAGGAGGAGCAAGGTGGGAAGTGGCCATATGCTGGTACCACACAAACCATCACTGCACTGGGAGCCAAACATACTGTGAAAGATGTCACTATATCCTATTATATCTCTTCTCTTCTCTTCTCTTCTCTTCTCTTCTCTTCTCTTCTCTTCTCTTCTCTTCTCTTCTCTTCTCTTCTCTTCTTCTCTCACTAGAGAAAAAAAGTTTAAGGTTAAATTTAATAATTTAGTTTAATTAATTAATAGTTTAATTAATTAATGGCATAATGACCTGGTTTCACAGACAGGGATTGAACTAAGTCAGGATCGGGCCATAGTTCGGTTAGGACATTTAAGTAATTTTTATGAACACGCCTCAGAAAATAACATTACTGTGTCTATGTTGAGAAAACAAACAAAAAGGGCACTAATATATTATAAGATCTGTCACAAGTTTTTTTTTCTACCAGTTGAAACATCTTCGGCTTATGTTTTAGTCTAGGACTAGACATAAACTTAGTCTGTGAAACCAAACATGTAGAAGTCATCATAAGTCAAATTATGACTTAAAAGTTGAACACGACTAAATGTTCCAATTATGGGGGGTTATGGGGTTCCAATTTGTAGCTGTGGCATGATGTGGTAATTTTTAATTTAAATAATTTAAAAATGCCATTGAGTCATAATTATCAGAACCAATAAAAATCATATTATTTCAAGGCATAAATATTAGAATTAAATAATTAAATTTGATAATTCAATATAATTTAGTACTTTATTATTTTAAAATAAATTATTAAATTAAGTTTTTAATAAAACTTGTATTTATTTTTAATAATTTATATATATTTATTTATAATTATATTATCAGTTAAGTTTAAGATGCTATAAAACTCACAAATAATAATAAAATTAATCAATTAATCTAAATTAATAATAAAAAGTATTAACCATGATATTCTACTTATTCATAGTTAATTGAAAATTAAGATGACACTGTGGCTCAGTTAGCACGATTGCCTCACAGCAAGAAGGTCGCTGGTTCGAGTCCCGGCTGAGTTAGTTGACATTTCTGTGTGGAGTTTGCTTGTGCTCCCGTGTTCGCGTGGGTTTCCTCCGGGTGCTCCAGTTTTCCCCAGTCTAAACACATGCGCTATAGCTGAATTGAATAAATTAAATTGGCCGTAGTGTTTTTGTGTGAATGAGTGTGTATCAATGTTTTCCAGAATTGGGTTGCAGCTGGGTATTTTATAAAATGTGCTAGAGTCAAGTTGGCGGTTCATTCCGCTGTGGCGACCCTTGATAAATAAAGAGACTAGGTCGAAGGAATGAATGAAAATTGAAGTTGTGACAGAAAAAAGTTATAACAGGCTCGTATCCAGGGATGGTTCAGGTGATTCAGAAGACTCACCCCTTATTGACAAAGGTCCAGAATTTGTCCCATACATGAGCTTATTTTTTTCTATTTTGACTGCTATGCCATCATAAATACTGAATATACCCATCAAAAAAAGGCTTTAAGACTAAGCGGAATCCTCTGTTGGCTGTTGCTTTGGTGTTACTTCAGCTAATCAGTTTTGGCCAATGCTAACAATTTTACATCACAATCTGACATAAGAAAAGTCATCTTTCACTACTGTGTTGTTTTTAAACAGAGAAAACATTTTACTGGTAACTTTTATTCTATTTCTTGGACCTTATTCTTGATACAAAAAAAGAGCAATAAAAAGGTGTGAAGCACCAAAAACTGACCATATTAAAATTTATTTGAATAATATATTTGAATATTAATATTTGGCTATTGTTGTTATTCATGTATTTTTAAAGGTACTTTTTCACAAGAGAGGCGTGTAAAAGCTCCACATTATTATTATTATTATTATTATTATTATTATGTTTTAATTTTTTTTTATTCAAATGGCCAAATTCTTACTGCGGAAAGTTTGTTATTTGCCTAATAAATGACAGATTTATTTATTGACCGCTTTAACAGATTCCTATTTTTTGGAATGATTTATGATGTAATATGTATTTAAGTATTATTTCATATTTCCTTTTTCCAAATCTTTAGGAAATATTTTTGGTATATCAAAGATTGTGGTTTTGATGACCATCTGACAAGCTAATTCAGCAAAAATATCGCTTAAAATGTCACTAAAATGCAGTACTTAAATATCGTAATTAAATAGAAAATTAAAAGAACCCCTACTTTAACCAGGCTGGTTACGGGTCTGTATAATGTAGGCTTTTTCATGTACAATATTCTCATTAGTGTTATGTAAGTGTACTGTGCTTTGTCTGAATTACCCTTAACCTTTGGCCTTCACGAAGCTCATGTGGACCAGAAGAATAAGGTGGTGACGACACCTGCGTTCATGTGTGATACAAAGCTGCACTTGATTTTTGATGGGATCGGTGCCATGGTGAGAGATGTCCTGAAGCTCAGCGGGAAGTGAAAATTCAGCCAGTATATCAGTATCTTTACATTCACTGCATTGAGTTCATCAATCATATAGGATATGTGTAAGACACCATCAATTAAAACATAGTAAACTTAAGTTGCAGTCTTTTGACAGACATTACTAATCAAACGTGTCTGCCTGACATTATTAAATGGTATTTAGCTGAATGTCCAGCAGAGGGCACTCTCTGATTTTTTAAATGTTTGAAAAAAGAAATGTGAAATGAAATAACCTCTAGATTTGTCTGTTGTGAAATATTTCAATTGTATTTGCAATTTAATGTAATAAATACTTGAAATGAATATTAGGTCAAAGTACAACTTACAATGTACCAAAACAGCTTGATGTGCATGTTAATTATATTTAAGTAGACACTGTGTGTGTGTTGAAATATGAAGTTTGAAAGAATAAAGAATATATAATTTTGTTAAAGAATGTCAGTGACAAGTTATTTAATCAGCAGTTTAATAGCAATTAGTTATTTAACAGCAAGCACCAAAAAGTAGTACTGAGGTAGCAATTGAAAAGTAGTTCTTTTAAAAATGTATTCTGTAATTGCCTAAGAATTGGGCTGTTCTGCATTAAGTTAAAATGAAAGACTCTTTAATTTAGAATTTTAGTTGTGTTAGCAAAAAAAAAAAAAATAGTGAACATTGTAGTTTAAATTTGAATCTTGTTCTCATCGTACAGCATTTAATACAGTATTGTTTTCCTGGGATGTTATGTTTCACAGTTTTTCTCAGTCTCTTTGGTACATTTCTCAGATCAGAATTGAAATTTGCAAAACAGTAAGTGCATTTCTCAAAACAACATGTACAAATCGCAAAACCCCATGGATTACCTGCAAAAGCCAGTCTCTTGCTTCAAATCATTGTAGTTCATCTATCAAAACTAAAGTTCTGGGTCAATGAATGTGTCAACGTTGTCAAAATGATAAGTCCTGCTGTCATTGTGTATGGATAGGACAGTCAAATTAATTAGTCATGCTGTCAACATAATAGTGAATTCTGGAGGGATGTTCTGATGTAAACTATGGCTAATTTTTATTTTTTATTTTTTTGCTCTTTGTATCGTTTTTGTTGACAGATCATGTCATTGTAATACAGAAAGGAAAAAACAGCACTGCATAGCACAAAGTAAAAACAAAACAAAAGAAATGTGAACAGTACAATCTCCATTAGAAAAAGCCAAGATTCACCTGGGAGAAACGTGTTAATTGTAAACGGATTTAGAAAAAATAAATTCATCTTATACATTATTGAAAATGCATCACTTAAAAAGCATGACACTGAATGTGAATAGAGTTTAAAAATGAACTAATACTTAGCACCTACTTCACCAGTTAATTTGATTACATTAGGAATAATAGAAAGCTGCTTTTAGATCTTTTCACATGTTTTGTAGAGTAAACAGTCTTTGTAACTGCTACTTAGAAAATGTATGGCAAGGTTTAGGAGAAAACAGCGTCCAAAGACACATTTTAAAAAGTGTAAAAGTTTTTACAAAAGTTATTATTGGATGTTGATTCAAAATTGACAGATGCATGAAAACAAAAATGTTTTTACATTTAGTTTCTTGCTTTAGGAAAAGTAAATACACGTTTTAGCACTTAGAAATGTGTATAGGCAGGTACACATTCACTGTTCAAAAGATTGGACCAGTAATATTTTGGAAAGAAGACTTGCACATCAATGCTGCATTTTTGTACTGTATAAAAAATTCAGAGACAGTTACACAATTTTAAATGTTATTACAATTCTAATATACATTTTGTAGCATCCTTTAAGTCACATGTTCTTTCAGAAATATCTATGATCAGAGATTCTGACTTGGTGCTGCTCAAGGAACATTTCTTAAAAGTTTCTTCTGTTAAACAAGATATTTTGAAGAATGGTGAAAACCTGTCATTGTAAGAAATACAAATGTATGTAAATGTAATTGTGTCAATGGATACAGCATTCCAACAGTTTTTTTTTGTTTTTTGTTTTTTTTAAATATCACCTTTTATCTTCAACAGAAGACGGACAGAACCTCAAAGGTTTGAAACGAGTAAAGAATGATTAAATGATGACAGATTTTTCATTTTTGGGTGAAATATCCCTTAAATGTCAATGTTGAAAGCAGTACTATTTTGAGGAAGCTGCTGTTGATGAGTAGTCTTTAATATATAGAAAGAAAGTAAAAATTTATTTGTAGCATTATAAAATGTCTTAACGGTCACTTATTTGACCAAAGTAATGCATTTTTATTAATGCAATAATAACCTAAACGAATAATTAAATCAATACATAATTGTCCACTTCTTTTCTCACTGCCACTTTGTTGTAAATATCTTTCCCCACTTTTCATGTTCATTCAGTTCATGCAGATATGTCTCGCTGGTTACGTAAGATTTTGCTTTTTTTGATGGAGGCCGATTGGTTTTCAGACCAGGTCATCTAGTTCTGTTCTCAGGCACAAGCGCTTTTTGATGGGGATTTCTCCCACCCACATCTCATCAGCCTACCCACTTCCCACAGCCGTCCAGAGAGGCTGGGCAAACAAGACCCCGCGTTCTGCCAATTTGTTCGTACAAAACGTAGGGATTTGGGGGCCTACAGCCACTCTTGCACAGACAAATGGTAAGTATTTGCCTGGCAGTCTGAGACCCCCACCTTTACCACGCATAAATACACACTCTTTGCGTTCTCTACACTCTTAGGCTACTGGTTTCTTTGCACTGGCTGTCTATAACAAACCCTCCTGACAAAATGGCCTAAGCATTGTATACAGCGAGGTTGAAAAATAAAAAGATAAAGTTGTAGTTTTAAAAACAGTTCTAAATGAACAGAGGTGTCACACTACAATACCACGGAGAAACTTTTTCATCAAAATTATTCTCAGAACATTTGATTATTAAGCAAAAGTTAAGTAGGCATCACTGTAGTCATCTAAAATTAGTTCATGTTTGAATTTAAGCTTTATTTACAAATATTTTTGTGCAAAATTAACATTTTAGTCATTTAGGATGTTTTGTTGAAAACGAAATTCCTTAGTTCAATGCCTTTTAGGATTAAAGAATCAGTTTATGAAAAAGTAAAATTCTGTTATGAATTTCTCTGTTTTAATCCCTCGAGACCTTCATTCATCTTCTGAACATAAATTAAGATATGTTAGATAAAATCTGAGGACTCCCTTATCTGTGATAGAGGGCAATTTTCCCGTCTACTGAGATGTTCAAAGTCCAGAAAAGTACAATCTAAAAATTCCATGTGACTTCAACTGTAATTAAATGTAATGTAATGTAATAATGTAAAAATATGAGGCTCCAAGAACTTTTTGTTTGCCAAAAAAAAAAAAAAAAAACTGTAAAAATGACTTTCTTCAGCTGTGTCAGGTTCTGGTCTGCATTTAGTATGGGCAATAAATTAGCTTGTTGTTGTGCTGAGTACTGACAAAATGCATTATTGCCCATAGTAAACCTGCACCCAGACAACCTGACGGAAATTGTCAAACAAATAAAACATGTTAAACATCTCACTACCCTTGCTGTCTATGGAGGATGAGGGAGCTCTCTTAAATATAAAATATCATTTGTGATCTGAAGCTGAATGAAGGTCTCGGGATTAGAACAACATAAGGGTGAGTAATTAATTACAGAATTAGCATTTTTTGGTGAACTAATTCTTTAAGCTATGTCAGTGCTTTTTTATTAACACATATGACCTTGACAGAAAGAACAGAGAAATAATCTGTAGATGATTTTCACAATAAGGAAAGCAGAGCTCCAGAGCCTTCTGCCAGTCACCCATGGCGTTTACTCTGCCGCTCCCATATCATAACATACCTTTTACATCTATTGCTCATTATGCATGTCTGGTTGCTCACTTTGGTCTTTGAAACTTAGAACTCCAGGTCCTTTTTTCAGAGCAACTACTTGAAATGTGGACATTGTTTTTCTTTTCCATTTTGCTTTTGGCTATATGTGAATAGCTCTGGTTCAGAGAATCCCATGCATTCATTGCAGAAGACGAGTCAAGTTGCTTTTCTTGATGCAGAGACTGAGTTTAGTGACTGATGCTTTCTGAAGTACTCCTGGGCCCATGTGGCTGTACATAACATCACAGCATGACAGTTTTTATATGGTGCCATCTGAGGGCTCAAAAGTTGTCTACTTCATTCAACTGAGCATTCTTTGCTTCACAACAATTCACTAAATCTTGTCACAATGTTATGTTTGGTAGTTGGTGCATTACCTGAATTCTTTATGATGTTACATTGAGAAATTAGATTTTTTGATTCGTTTGACATTTCTCACATGGCTCAAAATGAAGAGCCACATTTTTAAAATCCAGTTTGGGATAAATGAAACACTCATTAACAGTTGGACCAATAATTTTGGACTTCAAAACTCTAGAATTTTCTTTAACCTTTTCACTTGTAGTTTGCTATTGAAAGTTTGTTATTGAAAATGCAAGCAATCTTTTATTTTTTTTTTTCAAATTAGCTGATCACCCATTCCTGATTTTCTTTAGCCAATTTGAATGTTATCACTTGATTGAGCTTTATAAGTGGTTATCAGCTGATAGATATGGGCCTATAGGGGCCTTCTGTGCCTCCTGGTAGGCTAAGAATGCTGTTATCATCCATCCACATGGTTAATCAGCTATAGATCACTTACAGCTGTGGCCGTAAGTTAACAAGAATTATTCATATTATTTATTAAATTTCCCATTAGTTGTATTTCATTAACGTCTACCCTACCCCAACCCTAAACCCAACCATCACAGTAATGTAAAAACAGATCAGGATCTGCAGTCTTCTATATTAGTATGGCTGGTTAACCATGTGGGTGAATAATAACAGCCTTCGGAGCCTACCAGTTGGTACAGAAGGCCCCTATCTGGCCCATGCCTATCAGCTGATAACCACTGATAACGCCCATTCAATCGAGTGATAACATTCGAAGCGGGTGGTTTGTTGCACTTCACAAAATGTTCTAACATTTTTTAGAATTGGGGTTGAATCAAATAAGTAACTCTCCTATAGTTGTTTGATTATAACCTGTCCTAAAATTAAATGTGTGAGGAGTGTGTGAGCGTGAGACAGGCTTGTGGTTTCTTCAGGGCAGTGAGTTGTTAATGGGCTAAGGTCTCTGTGTGTTATTGTGAGCGGGGCAGTCTATCAGGGGCCGGACTGAGGCCTGAAGCCCTGCGGTCCTCCTGGCATCCTGATCAGAGGATTAGCAGCATACAGCCGCAGGTCAAGAGCAAGCCAGTCACACACACTTTCTCTTTAACACACACACACACACACTTGTCATTTTGCTTTCTCTCACAAACACCTTCGCTTTCACACACGCAAAGCATTTCTCAACCTCTCACACTTGTGCAGAAGAGGCCTGTTTGATAGCAGGCAGCGGATTAGGTTCTGTGTTCTCCTTTATTCTTATT